GGCATTGCCTGTTACAATGAAGAAGAAAGCCATGACAGGCACATTATCTCTCTCTGTGTGTTGCCTGCTGCTTCATCCAGAACAGATCGTTGGAATGGGATGAGCGTTGTTCAAAGACTTTGGCTCTTTAATTGGGGAACCCGATGTTACTGAGGATGGCAGGAGCTACAGCCCAAGAACATCGGGTTCCCCAATTAAACACTCTTCATGTTGGCTGTGGTGTTCCTATGGGTCATTCTGTTCCTAAATGCTTCTGAGGGCAGCCAAGCTACCACTTCAAACAGCAGCAAGTGCATATACTGTTGTAAGCTAGGGCACTCGTCTAGGTGTCACCTTCAAAGCCTTGGGACTACTGCAATGTGCTCTACGTGGTTCTACCTTTGAAGGTGACCCAGAAACTACAACTAATCCAGAATGTGGCAGCTAGACTGCTGACTGGGAGTGGCCGGCAAGACCATATAACACCGGTCCTGAAAGATCTATATTGGCTCTCAGTACGTTTCCAAGTACAGTTCAAAGTGTTGGTGGTTTAAAGCCCTCGGCCCTGTATACCTGAAGGAGTGTCTCCACCCCCATCGTTCAGCCCGGACACTGAGGTCCAGCTCTGAGGGCCTTCTGGTGGTTCCCTCACTGTGAGAAGTGAGGTTACAGGGAACCACACAGAGGGCCTTCTCGGTAGTGGCGCTTGACCTGTGGAACGCCCTCCCATCAGATGGCAAGGAAATAAACAACTATCTGACTTTTAGAAAACATCTGAAGGCAGCTCTGCTTAGGGAAGTTTTTAATGTTTGATGTTTTATCGTGTTTTTAATATTCTGTTGGGAGCTACCCAGAGCGACTGGGGAAGCCCGGCCAGATGGGCAGGGTATAAATAATATATTATTATTATTATTATTATTATTATTGGTTGAAAAGTGGAGGTTTGGTCGAGAGAGCCTTAATGGACAAATCAGAACTGCCATTACTTCTATGGCCCTGGCAGAGTGGTCATCAAATCTTCTTTAAGGAGATGTCTCGGTGGACGGGCAATTATGAAAAGAAAGACCCTTTTGGGAATCAAAGCTCAGATTTCCTCCCTACTCCACAGGCTCAAGATCAATATGAAGGAAGAATTGCTAGTCTCATCTTGAATTGGCTTGAGAAGAGATGGACGCTTTTGACTTGCTCGTTGGGCTGAACCCAAAGATACGGCTTTGTGGGTTGGGCCCTCAAATCCGAATAGGAGACCAAGATCTGTTAAGAGTGACAATTCTGTGAGCAATTGTTAGGGGCTGTGCCACAGCTTGCTCCACTCACCAACACAGGGGCAGAGGAAGGGGGGGTGCAGTGGGGGCGGGCTGCCCTGGGTGTCACCACAGAGGGGGGTGACAAAATACGATACGATAATCTTTATTGTCATTGTCCCATACAAAACAACGAAACTGAAAAATCTACACCAGACATTCAAAAACCAATAAGCCTGCTATCCCAACTATCCCAGCCTGGTTAGTCCCCTAAGAACTCTGATACCCCATAATTGAATACAATATACTCACATAGAGACTACCTTACACTGCATTTAAAACCAAAATCGCATTTGGATAGAAACTGTTTCTCAGGCGGCTAGTCCTCGTCTTTATAACCATGTACCTTCTTCCAGAAGGCAGAAGCTGAAAGAGATCATTTCCAGGGTGCGCACTATCCTGCGCTGCCTCTGCAGCTTTCTTATGGCACCTGGAAGCGTAGATTTGATCCAAGGTGGGAAGAGTGCACCCAATTATTCTCTCCGCAGTCTTTACTACCCTGGACAGCATTGTTTTTCCGCTGATCGTGCAGCTCCCAAACCACACGCACAGACCATAAGTTAATACACTCTCAACAGTACAATGGTAAAATGCCATCAACAGGTCCTTTGAGAGATTGTTATTCCAGAGGATTCTCAGAAAATATAACCTCTGCTGTGCTCTCTTCATCAGGTCGGCACTCACTGTGGGGCCTGCAGCTTGCCTGAGCCACATGTCTCTCCTGTGAGTGACGCGGTGGCTTGGGGAAGGATTTTTTGCCCCACCCCAAAACTTACAAAAATTACTGTGACAAACTATTTATTTATTACATTTATTTCTTATTTGTATACCGCCCTTCATCTGAAGATTACAGGGCCATTTGCAACATAAAAATACAAAATGAAAATGCAAAATACATAATAAAGCAAAAGAAATCAATAACCTCCCCTCCCACAGATTATTTAAAAGGCCATAGAGTGTTAATCAGTCAAACACTTCAGCTTAAAAGTGCTGCCAATGTCAGATTCTTATTCTTATTTATATTTATTAGTCACCTCACAAAATAATTTCTCTAGCTCAATACACATCAAACATAAAACAAAGTTAAAATGCAAAAGAAAATAATACTGTCAATTACACATGAAATATAAAACCAGCAGAAAAAAATAAAACAAATACTAGCTCTAGCAACAAAACATTTAATACAGAAAAACAGATACTGCAAAGAAACAGTTTATGTAACATGCTCTGGGCTGCATGGGGACTGCAGCTAACAGGCGATGGTGTTGTTGTTAACCCTTTCCCTGTGTCTTTTCCTCACTGAAAACCCCCCTCCAAAGTTGCTATTTGTCCCCAAAGGGAAGCTGCAATGTATCCCCATGGCAGCTTTTCTTTCTGGGCAAATAATAGCTTTGAGATGGTTTTGGATAGAAGGGCCTGGAGAGCCACATGCAGCCCCTGAGTCTGAGATCTCCCACCCACCGCATGGCTTGAATGAGGCTTGAAGAATTCATAGATTCTTTTTGTATATAAGGAAAAGATTTGTGATGTGGCTGTTGGTCACCAAAGAGGACATTGTGCTATGCATACAGAGGCAGAATACCTCTGAGTATTGAATGAGGAGAGGACCATGTTGGGAAATAGATTGAGGATTAAATCTGTAGATTTAGATCTAAACTTCCTATCCCACATGTGTGGAAGAAATACAAAACAATATGACTGTGAAGCCTTTTTAGCAGATTAAAATACTTTTTAGTTTGGCAGCTTATTAAAGTTTAGTAATAAGGCAGCTATATATTTTTATCCCCTTCTGTTTTTGGTCTGTTGACCAACTCCTTTTCACCCCTGTTGCAGGGAATGAGCCACGCGTTTTTAGTAAGATCAATGGGAAAAGGGTTTACTTACATTTCAGTGCAAGCAGCAAATAGAGCAAAGTAGTGTACAGAAAAATACTTCTAAGTTACAGTGAAATAAAAGTTGGGAGTCTTTGCTAACATGGCTGAAGGCAGGAGTTTTAGTCATGCATGTCTGGTCAGATTGGAAACATTGTGAAAAGAGAGTCTTCTTGCAGGAAGAAGGAAGTATAAAGGATTGTCTCCTTTGTTAGAGAGTTCCTGCCCAGAGGAGGCAAAGTAAGTGACCACACACAGAGGGTTTTCTCTAGGATGTTCAAGAACTCTCTGTGTACTAGCTCTGTGTTTGTCTAGCAAAACATGCTTTTGTAATTTGGCTGCAAACCCCACAGGCCAGCAGGAGAGAGTTGTCGGGCTCATGTCCCTTACTGGCTTACAACTATTACAAAAAAGAAGAAGTCTCCAAGCAACTTATAAGAGCCAAAACACACAAAACGATACATTTCAATAATAAAACCACTCCAATAACACACAGACATTTCGTGGGGCAGGTATTTGAAACAAAACGCTAGGCTTAAAGGTCAGGTCCAAAAGGACTCTTATCGCCTTGATGTGAGAGAAGGGGAGAGAAATTTACCAGGGCAGGAACTTGAATAAGATCCCAAGGCAGGATTGAATCCATGACAGTTCTGTAACATGAGAGATTATCCAGCATTACAAGCACTTATGAACGGAAGCAAAACAAAACAAAAACTCAGCGACTATGTATGAACGAAAGAGTGCTTGTGGAAAGGAGCCCCGCTTTCCTTCAGAGACACCACAGCCAGTGTCCTAAATTCCACGATGAGTCAGAGTGCTTGAGGTTCTCACTAAAAAGAAAGCGAAAAGCATTGTGTTCCAAAAAGGGACCCAGCATCATAGAGGTGCTTCTAACAGGCACAGCAAAATAAAGAATACTGATGGGCACCCAGACAAACGAGACAGCACAGGCTTCCTATTTCCCCCCCTCCCATCTATTTTCTCCATATCCACCTGGCTTACTGTGTTTACACATATAGCTGTAGCAGAGGGTGGACAATGAAAAGCTTATTTCAAACTTGCAAACCTTTCAATCCCCCCTAGAAGGTTCTCGACTCAAGAGCACTGAAGATTATACCATATGTGATTCCTCTCTGAACCATTTCTTAAACAGTGTCAGTAAGAGACATCAAGAATAGTGCCTTGCCGGTTTCTAAGCAAAATGCTGTTTTTCTGCATCATCTCCTGTTTCCACTTTTTGGAAGGGGAATTTTCTCCTTCACTAGATCCCTATTTGCGTGCTCACATGTGATTGCAATCACGTGGAATGGGTGGGTGAGGCTGGCTGACAGCCGTGGGTCGGAAGGGTGATCTGAAGAGGGGGCCTGCTCCAGGCACACAGTGGTCAAACCATGGTTTTAAACCATTTCCTGCCCCCAATTCACTACCATTTGTGCCATCCAAAGAGTGCAGCCCCCTCATTAGGTGGCGCAGTGATCCTAATTGTGGTTCGTCAGAGGTCTGTGAATTTAGTAACAACAACAAATAACACTTAGCACAAAGTTTGCTTTGCAGACAAGATTCAAGCAGGGTTTCCGACCCTGGTTTGTTGGCCCTGAATAAACCATGGTTTGTGGGCAGGCGAAACAAACCATAATTTCACCTAATGTCTGAAAACAGCCAGTGTCAGGGTTTGCAAGCCTACAACGGTGTCTATTTTCTTCATATCGCTAATGAGGACCTCCCTTTTGGAGAAGAGAACTTAGATGCTTCTTGCTTACAGTTTCATTTGGGGTGTAAAAAGACTGTGACCATGGAGAAAGTACCTGGTGGGGTTTTTGTATGGCGGGGTTGAAAGCAGGTCATTTTATATAACACCTGGGATGATACTGCAAGTACTTTGGTTAAGAGTCTGAGAGGTTGTGGAAGGGCTTAGAGCTTTCTTTTGAGTTGCGCTAGACTTCTTTCCTTCCAGCCAATATGTTATCATGTCACCTTTCCCCTAGAAAGAAACGTAATAGTACAATTTATCAATGGTGTCAGCAATACTTTACACCTGAGAGCAAATACCAGCACTAAAATAGAGGCATGGCTAGCCCCCCCGTTGCTTTATTTCAATTGCACTAGAGAAGGGTTGTCCAACAGGTCAATCGCGATCTACTGGTAGATGCTGGGAGGTTTTGGTAGATTGCGGTCGATCGCTGGGCCCCTTTCCCTACCGCCCCCTTGCCCTGCCCTCCATTGTCACACAATCTGCAGAATGGAAGACGGAGTTTACTCAGTGAGGCTGTTTGTCTCCCCAGCAATTTGTTGGTGAGTGGCTGTTCCTCTTTCTCCCCCCAAACCCTTAAAAACAGGGCTTTCCTCCTCCTTAAAAAAGGCTCAACATCTTTGACCTGAACCCCCCTCCCCCCAAAAAACAGGGCTTTCCTTCCCCAGGAAAGGTTAACAACTTTGACCTGAACTCCATTTTTAATGAGCAGGGCTGCAATTCAAGATCTGTTCTCAAAGTGGGCCAAAATGCCATCCTTTTCAATGGACACCGTTGTGTTTTGCTCAGTTTGGAATGGAACCACCCCTCTCTCCCCCCTTTTTAAATTTTGTGCACTGGAACCAAGTGTTTCTGTTTTGAGGGTACTGTTCTGAGGTTTCAATTTTGGGTGAAATACATGCAGTGGTGTAGCATGGGGTGGGGTGGGTGAAGGCACAGGGCAGTTGCCCCGGGAGAAAAGTGCTGCCCCAATACAGCTGTGTACTTCCTTCACTGGGCTCCATTGAAAATGGCTTCTCCATGTGAACCAAGAAGTGACCTCTTTAGACAATGGAACGACTCTTCTTTTCCTCTCTCTGCAGCTGCAATGTCCTGGGTGAGGCAGATGCTGTTATGTACCGTATTTTTCGCTGTTATGTACTGTATTTAACACGCACCCGACCATAACACGCACATAGTTTTTAGAGGAGGAAAACAAGAAAAAAAATATTCTAAACGAAACAGTGGATGTATGATTTTTGTGGTTCATGCTGTGGCCACAGACTTGTGATCTGACGGTGAGTTTGGGGTAGCCCAATGCAAAAATCCTGAGGATCCATGTGGATCCGTGCTTTGTAACCACGCGGTGAGGGGGGGAGGGAAGGAAAAGCACTCAAGGGACAAGGAACACGCGTGGGGTGGGTGGAGAAGGATGCTGTTAATAATGCAGAAGAGGGGTATAAGAGGAGAAGGCTCCTCTCCTCTCCTGCTTTGCTCCTTTAAAGCAAGCAGGCTCTCTGTCCCTCTCCTCCCCACTCAGCGGTTCTTCTCCTGCTTTGCTGTTTCAAAGTGAGCCACGGAGGAGGGAAGGAAGGGGAACCATGGATCCTCTGCTCACAACTGCAGCAGATCCCCCCGCCATCCGTAGGCATTCGCTCCATAACACGCACAGACATTTCTCCTTACTTTCTAGGAGGAAAATAGTGAGTGTTATGGTCAAAAAATACGGTAGTTGAATGTGCATGCGCATCTCTCCATCCATTTCCCTCCCTCCCCCCGGGACTGCAGATGCTGGCAACCCACGCTACGTCACTGTCCTTCTGTCTAATAATGTCCTGGTTCACGCAAAGCACTAAAGTATGGCATAGCATGGACCAGGGATGTAAAAATGCATCTTTTTTTCCGTTCCAGCTCGTATCCATCTCATACAGAACTGTTTCTGTTCCACTGCAGTTTATCTTCTGTCAAAAGCAACTTCATTCATCTTGCTGTCTGCTGTGACGAAATCATGTAACCGAAGGTCATGGCTTGTCTCACCCAAGCAAACCACCAGCCAAAGCCCGACATTGATTTCAGCTTGTGGTTCGTCTGGAATGGCATAATGCTAATCCAAACCATGGCTTAGTTCCCATTACAGTTTTCCCACAGGCTGCCAGCACAAACCATAGTGTTACATAGCCTAGTGTTACATGCAAACCAGACCCATAAGTGGCAGCTTTTGTTTACTAAATGGACTGTTACCTTATACCAGGCATAGGCAAACTCGGTCCTTCAGATGTTTTGGGACTACAACTCCCATGATTCCTAGCTAACAGGACCAGTGGCCAGGGATGATGGGAATCATAGTCCCAAAACATCTGGAGGACCGAGTTTGCCTATGCCTGCCTCATACTTTCTGCAGTACCTCAGAAACACAGTATCTCAGAAACGTATATGTATATTTAATCAAACTGCAAAAAGGCCAGTGGTTAATTGGCTAAAAATTCAAAGCTGGAGGCGGCCCTAACAGAAATATGTTTGCACTTTCCATCTGCACTGGAATAAGCATAGATGTTCTAGTTACCCACTGGTGAGGTGAAACTCTGCTCAAACCCACTTTCCTCTATATTACAGCTTTGCATCTTCTGGGACTTCAAGTCTTCAGGATAAAAATAGGTCCTGGAGAACTTAGGCAGAAATTAGGCCCTAGGCTGGTAACTTTCAATATCACGGCTGTTCCCAGGGTTTCTTGGGAGAGGCATTAAGACTTGAGTCACTTTACACAGTGCAAATGTGCCCTAAGGAGCAGACCAGAAATGAATGATGCTCAAGATTCAGAGCAGACTCGAGGCCAGCCAATCCAAAGGGGTTAAAGCAAAAGCTTTCCAAAGGACTGCCACTCATTTCCCCTTCGGGAAAGCCTGAACACAAACGTTTCCTATTTACCTTGACTTGCAAATTCCCCCGGCACACCAATATGTACTCTCCAATCTGTTCCAACAGCTGGTATGTATTTGAACTGCACTGTATTTTGAGGGCTAGAAGGAAAAGAGACATTCAGCTACAGCACTGTTATGAGCCCTGCTTCCCTTTTCAAAGAAAAACTTGCTGTAGAAACTGAGCAATGGCCTCTTAGACATAGATATCTCTCCCCCAATCTCGTTTCTGCCATTTGCTGCTACAGTCCTGCCAGTGGACTCACAGGCGAACTCTGAGGTCTGTGGCTTCTGCCTGAGGCATTTTGGAATGTGTCCATGACTGTGTCAACTAAGAATTAATGATAGTGTTTCCCATCTCCTTATAGCTGTTGACAAGTTCAGACTCTCCAAGTGTCCCTGTTTTTCAAGTACAGTCCGTTGGCCAGTAGAGAAATTGTCCCTATTTCTGATGGGATCCCTGGAATGTCCTGCTTTTCCTTAAGACATCCCTATTTTCATCAGAGAAATGTTGGAGAGTATGAAGTACCCCCCCAGGCTTTTTTTCCTGCCGGAACTTACCGGAATTCAGTTCTGGCACCTCTCAGGTGGGCGCCATTCTAAGAGAACAAGGGAGGTGCCAGAGGTGAATTATGGCCAGTGCTGGATTTATGTATAAGCTAAACAAGCTATATCTTAGGGCCCCACTCTCTTGGGGCCGCCAAAAAAATTTAAAGAAAAAACACCTGGATGTACATTTCTAAAATATAAGATAAAAAACAAATAAAATAAAAACTACATACAACAACAGTGTTTTGTGTTGTGTAGGCTCCTATTTGTTATGTGCAAGTGGCTTTAGATACCTATTAGGTCCATAAATTACCATATAGCATATATTCAACACAAAAAACAGCGGCAAATTGTTGTTGGCAAAAGACAGCTGGACATCAAAAGGGCCCCATTATCTTCAGTAGCTTAGGACCTCATCAAACCTAAATCCGGCCCTGGTTCCGGCACCTCTTTTTCTAGAAAAAATATCACTGGGCATCCCTATTTTCACTGGAGAAATGTTGGAAAACTTGACCCTTCCACCCCGCAAAGACAATTCCATGCAGTCTTGCTTAGGACAGCAACAAAGATGGTCAGTGCTAGAAAGAACTAGGCAGAAAGATTGGATGAACTTGGTATGTTTAGCCTGGAGAACAGAAAGATGAGGGGCTATCACAGTGAAGAGGGCAAAGACTTGGGTTGAGTACACACCATGCATGTAAACTCCACCCCAAGGAATCTTGAGAAGTGTTTAAAAAAAGAGGGAGAGGGAAAGGAGTGGCCGAAAGAGGGGAAACTAATCCACCTGCTTTGGTCTCACCCACTCAACCCCAATCAACACAAAAACATAAGTATCTCTGCAGTAGTAAAGGTAAAGGGACCCCTGACCATTAGGTCCAGTCATGACCGACCCTGGGGTTGCGGCGTTCATCTCGCTTTATTGGCCGAGGGAGCCAGCGTACAGCTTCCGGGTCATGTGGCCAGCATGACTAAGCCACTTCTGGAGAACCAGCGCAGCGCACGGAAAAGCCGTTTACCTTCCTGCTGGAGCGGTACCTATTTATCTATTTGCACTTTGATGTGCTTTCGAACGGCTAAGTTGGCAGGAGCAGGCACCGAGCAACAGGAGCTCACCCATCGCGGGGATTCGAACCGCCGACCTTCTGATTAGCAAGTCCTAGGCTCTGTGGTTTAACCCACAGTGCCACCCGTGTCCCTAGATCTCTGCAGTGGCCCACCTGAAATGTCATCAGCTCATCTTTCATTAATTCTCACAGAGATTTGCCAGTTGCTGCTGTTTTTGTTACCTTCACTGGTGGACTCCATCCTGGAGGCTGTGTTGACGGTGTCCCCAAATAAGCAGTACCGGGGCATTTTTGTTCCCACAACTCCTGCCACAACTGGCCCTAGAGAAAGGGGAAAAACAACAACCCAAAGCCAATCCAAGGATCCTTTCTGACTTGAGTTTATTTGCAGTTCACCCCAGTATCAGAGATAACAGTCAGGGCTTACCATTTCTGTGTGGGTTCACTCTATTAAAATATAAAAGCAGTACAACATTTGCAAAAAAAGAACAAGGAACAGCACAGGGAGGAAAGTGGCAGGGAAAGTTTTCTGTGTGAAGAAAGGCAATGTTGGTCACATCAACACCATATATCTGAAGCACTCTTATGTCACTCAGGGAGAAGCTGAGGAGCTGCTGGGAATTACAGGTCTTGCAGGGTCAGCAGCCTAGCAAACTACAGTATCCAGGATTCTTTGGGGGAAACTCTAGCTGTCAAAGTGACATACGAGTGCTTTAAATGTCTGGTGTGACTTGGAGATGAAGTGGGTGGGGGAGCTTAGCTGATGGAGTTGCAGATAACGGCCGTTGAGATTTGTAGGCTATCATAATGAGAGGCTTCTTCCACAGAAGTGCATTTGTTCGTGATGGGCACTCTAAGTTAAGAGCACGAGATACGTGCAAATCGTTCTGTTATGTACTGAGTTGAATAGGATCCAAAATGCAGCAATCTTATTGGTCCTAGAACAATAGGATCCAAAACGCAACAGTCTGACTGGTCCTAGAACAATAGGATTCAGAATGCAGCAGTCTGATTGGTCCTAGAACAATGCAGCAGTATGATTGGTCTGCAGGAGCCACCCAATCCAGCTCCAGGTGGAAGTGAATCCACAACCTGATTGGCCTACAGGAGAATCCTGGAATTAGCCAATCACGTGCAGCCCATTGTGTAAATAATGTATATAAAGCAGATATTGTGGGGGAACTTCCATTCCTCCTCACCACTATGAGCTGAATAAAGAGCATGAAATCCACTCTCGACTCCGAGTATATTTCACGTTCCTTCATTCCTGGGAAGAGGGAGGACCAGTTGCTGTTCCCACATCCATTTCAACTGGTTATTGACCGAAATAAATAAATATATACCGTACTTTTCTGTCTATAAGACATCCCCATGTATAATATGCCCCCTATTATGGAGGACTGAAATTTCAGAAAAAGGGGGGAGATGCTAAAAAGTTGTTGAGTTTTTTTGGGAGGGTGGATTACTGAGGATGGTTGAGCTTTTTTTGGGGGGGGGATGCTGAGAATCGCTCACCTGCACACATTGCAAAATCCGCCTTCCCATCTCTCCCCTCGCCTGCAAATCGCCTGCCCTATTGCCGCAGCATCGGCCAATCAACAACACCCATTCCCATTGATGCAGCAACTAATGACACACACGATAGCCACTGACAGCCACAGCAGCAATCAATAAGACGTCCACTCTATGCACATCCCATGTATAAGACGACCCCCACTTCTTGGCATTATTTTAAAGGGGGGGGGAACTAGTCTTATACACGGAAAAGTACGGTATATTTCCATCAATTACTGCTACCCTGTTTAGATTAGCTCAGAAAGTGAGTCAGAACTACCGCTTCAAAAAGCAACATGAGAACCCGTCTCTTTCCCACAATGGGATGTAGTTCTGCACTTCTTTCTAGTCTGTCTCCACCACAACCTGGCCATCACCAACAAGGGCTATGAGTGGACACAGCCTTAAGAGGGCAAGCTTCACACCTTCCCCGGTCCTGAATGAGGGCAACCTACTTTAATTCTCCTTTATACCCACATCCCACTTTTGCAGAGTCAACATTTCTCCCTGGCACAGTGCACCCTCATACCTGAGTGGATCCCTGCTCGAATCTTTAGCTGGGTGTTGGGCTTGTGTGGGATCCTAAACGTTTTGCACACCGAGACCAGGTCCAGAGCCATACTCGCAATCTCGCTGGCGTGGCGAATGCCATTCTCTCTGGGCACTCCTGACACCACCATGTCTAGGAAAAAAATTAATGGGAATATTCACCGAGGTCGGCATCGGCTCAATATCGCTATTACCATCGCTCGTGTCCGAACTTTGGAAGAAGAAACGGCAACAGCTCACCTGAAGATGGTTGAACTGGAATGACTGGGCCATATGTACATGCCATGCTAAGCCAAGCCATGGCTTAATGCAAACATGCCAAGCCCCAAGGAGGTGATCACAGCTATTTTGCTCTTCCCTAGGCTGTTTAGATCCAAGCCATTGACCTCTCATATATGAGAGTCTTTGCCTGGCTGGATTCTGTATTATTTTGTGTTCTGTTTACAAATTCCCGAGTTACACCTACATCTTCTGCATCGCTTGACCTCTTGGCTTCAATTTGTAAAAGAAAAATCTACTTCTCTCTACACCAAGCCGTCTAGGTTTCCAATTTGTGCACCTGATGAGGTAGGCTCTCACCTACAAAAGCTCCTGCCACAGATTCTGAAAAATAAAGGTTTCATTTTTAAGGTGCCACAAATCTTTCTTGTTTTTGTTCTTTAATGGTGGGGGAGGGGACTTGCAGAAAGTAAACTTGGCACAGCATCTTCTTCTCCTACCCCCCCCCCGAAGATGCCCCTGCACCCACCAAATCTGCTCTGGAGGCTGGGAAGAAAGCCATAACAGATTTGGGAGATGTCCCATTGCAAGTCTACACACTAACAGGACAACTTCCTTGGGGCACCGGAAATAATTTATGGGAAACCTATTCATGAAGGGATATTTTAGTGTAGGAAAAATAACCATAAACATTTATTAAATGTTCAAAGCACTCTGCATACATTACTTCAGCAAGTGTTACAGCATCTCTGTAAGGTTGGCCATGATGATCAACTCTTATTATGCAGATATGGGCAAATGTAAAGAAACATTGTTTTTCCTGGTGAGCTTGGGCTGAGGTCAAATTAGGACTGAGGACAGGCAGCTTTTTCCATATGTGGTGGAACTGCAAATTGATTAAGAAGTATTGGGATATGAGTTATAATGAAGTTAAGAAAATGTTTAAATTGACTTTTATTAAAAGACCAGAAACTTTTTTATTAGGCATTATGGGTCAAGATTTACCAAGAGAAAAGAAGAAACTATGTATGCTATAACTGCGGCCACGATGTTATTAGCCCAAAGATGGAAAAGTGAAGAAATACCAGCAAAGGAAGAATGGCTACAAAAATTGATGGAATATTCAGAAATGGTGAAGCTAACAGAAAGACTCAGAGACAAAGACAATAGATAATTTAAGAAAGATTGGGAACTGTTTATGTTGTATTTACAGAAACAATGTAAAGATCTAAACACACCATCAGGGTTTGAGTAAACATTTACAATTAACAACAGAGATAATAATTATCAATATGGAGATAACATGTAAAATATTTGAAAGCAGGCAGGGGTTAATTTCGGTGAGAAAAACCAGAAAAGGAAATTGAGAGAAGTTGGGGGGGTGGTGGAATTGGGGAAATGTATTTCATTGATTTTGATGATTAGATATGTGGCAATGTGATAAAAATGTAATATCCAATAAAAACTTTTAAAAATTTTTGGGGGGGGACTGGGGATGTTCTGGCTTTCAGCTTTTGTTTTTGCCCACTAATACTACACAGGACAAGTGACAGGGACTGGACTGAAGGAAAGGAGGAATGGTGGAGATCATTCCCCCCTTCTCCCGACACTCCCAGAGAAGAGGAAAGGAGTAATGAATTACAGCAGTGGTTTGAGGAAGGTCACAGCACAGAGACAGACGAACAGAAGAAGAAGAAGAAGAAGACGGAGAAAAGGGCTTTGCATTCTGAAGAAGACAGAGAAAAGGGCTTTGCATTTATATAGCACATTTCAAGTGCTCAAAGCAGCCAGGGATCAGAAGCGTGCAGTGGATCCTCATATTACTATTTCCTTATTGCAGGGAGTAGTCTAGCGTGGAGAGCGTAGTGGGGACGTCCCTCAGATCAGCTAACCGTAAGAACACAAGAACATGAGACGAGTCTGCTATATCTAGTCCAGCACCCTGTTCTCACAGTGGCCAACTAGATGCTCTTGTGAAGCCCACTGCCAGGGATTGGACTCAAGAAGGTGAGATTGGAGGAGGAATTGTGGGGGTCACCCTCCCCTTCTCCTGATGCTGCAAGAGAAGAGGAATGCAGCAGGAGTTTGAGGAAGGTCACAGCTCAGAGATAGATGAACAGAAAAGTTGGGCAGTGTTAGAAGAAGGGAGGGGAGAGCCAGAGCCAGCAGACACATTATCACTGGAGAGTATTTCTGACCCCCCTTCTCCTAGAACTCGGCGTTCCTTGAGGGTGCAAGAGCAAAGGACTCAGAGACAATTAGTCCCTGACGGCTACCATAAGGGGAAGTGATGTTGCTAGGAAGGGAAGAGGGAGGAGCTCAGTTGGAGCAACGCCATTATGGGAGGCTGACTGAATTTCTTTGTCTCTCACTGTGAGGTTTTAAATAAACTCATAGACTAAGGGCTCTCCGTTTTTTTCCTGTTTCGAGCTGACACCGGGGGAGGGATAGAATTCCCCGAGCCTGACAACAAGTAAGTTAGCCAACAAAGGTTATCCCTTGCTTGTGATTTTATTGTCCCAGCGTGCAAAATGTAGCCGCTCGAGTTCAACGCCCGTTTTCATTTACTCGGATGCCTGCTTTTTTCTTCTTTCACCTTTCAAGAAATTGGTGAGGAATGGAAAGAATAAAAAGGACCCTGGAAGGACTAACAATGTTGTATATGTTCCAGCAGCCTTAAGGGTTTTCAACGCAAAACCCGTTTCCCAACTCCTGTACGCTGCAAATGTCTGGCATAATGGGGACCTGCCAAAGCTAGATGGCTTCCAGGCAAAATTTCTACGATCTCTGCTGCAGGTACCCAACTGTGTCCCCAACTCCATACTTCTGTTAGAAGCTGGTGAATGCCCAATTTCAACTAAAGCGTGGTGGGCTGCCCTAAACCATTGGCTCAGGATTTCAGTGTTTGATCTAGGGAAGGGTTTGTACCATCACCTGACCAATGAGAAATTTGTCAGCAAATGGCAGAAAACCAAGGCTAAAAAAGCCACCTCTATTGGTCTGTCACTCCCCACAACTGTATTACCTGGGTTATGAAGGCCCCCTAAAGACGTTAAAGCAAAGATTATGGGATAATGCACACAGTGACTTGCGATCTCGATCACACGCAGTCTGTAGTCCGCTGGCAGTAGGAGTACAATATGGGCATGTCTTTAATCTTACATTAAAAACCTGACAGTACCAAACTATCAAAGGCTTTTCACCAAAGCCAGACTAAACGTCTTTCCTTCTGCAGTGTTGGATGGCAGGTTGAGAGGGGTTCCCGACCAGGACAGACTTTGCTCGTGTGCTCAAGACACCGATTCCATAAAACATATTTTGTTGCACTGTGCAAAATATGAGCAAGGCAGGGCTGAACTGATATTACCCTTGCTGGTACCTTTCCCAGGAAAATCAGAGGCTCACTATGTCAGGTTCCTATTGGAAGACCGGACAAACGCTATAACATTAGCAGTGGCAAAGTTTTTATTGGTGGTTGTAAGAACCAATGATCCCTATATTCTGAACAAAATGCTTGTTTAACCTGGAGGTAAGGTAAAGGTAAAGGGACCCCTGACCATTAGGTCCAGTCGTGGCCGACTCTGGGGTTGCGGCGCTCATCTCGCTTTATTGGCCGAGGGAGCCGGTGTACAGCTTCCGGGTCATGTGGCCAGCATGACTAAGCCGCTTCTGGCGAACCAGAGCAGCGCACGGAAATGCCGTTTACCTTCCCGCTGGAGTGGTACCTATTTATCTCCTTGCAGTTTGACGTGCTTTTGAACTGCTAGGTTGGCAGCAGCAGGGACCGAGCAACGGGAGCTCACCCCGTCACGGGGATTTGAACCGCCGACCTTCTGATTGGCAAGCCCTAGGCTCTGTGGTTTAGACCACAGTGCCACCCGCGTCCCTTAACCTGGAGGTAGGCTGTATGAATTGTGTATTGCTTTGTAACGATTTGTTGGCTCTCTGGACCGTAATAAAGATTGATGATGACAATGTTATTTTGAAGCACTCACAGGCATCTCCAATAGTTTCCACCTTGTAGACGTCGTAATTGTCTATGATTTCATCAAAGGTGGTGTAGAGCTTGTTTAGGAAGTCAACCACTTGGTAAGGCGTGCTGGTGCTGGAAAGCTGAGTGAAGCCAACAATGTCACTGGCAAGGAAGAACAAGACTTAAATGTGAGTCGAAGGATTTTGGAAAACATTTTGATGCTGACACATTTTGATGGCACATTACATTTTGAATTCTGCATATTTGAGCAGCGCTCTCCTCCTCCACCTCCTCCACTCTGCTGATTCCCTACAATAATTATTTTTGCAGTTTTCAATTGCACCATGTAAATTTAGTAAGTTGGGGGAGTGGAAGATAATATTCCTTTATAAAGCGCTGGTGAAAAAAATATTTGAATTATGTTTCCCCAGTCTGTTGCAGCTGAAAGGGCTTCATATGGGCCGCCCCTGCCAATAAGACCTTTCCATTAATTTTAATGGTAGAAGCAGAAATCATTTACTGGACTTTGAATGGGGAGGGGAATCCATGCAAGGATCTTGATATTTCTTTAAAGTATATTCATTGGGACAAAAGAGCTGCCTCGTACCCTCACAAAATCTGCTCTGATACCAATCAAACTTCATTTACAAGAGGAGTACATAATCTCTTATCTATACGTTAGAGTTACATCTGTTGGGCAAATAAATCTTTGTGTTGTCCATCCTGTCGTGTATAAATCTTGTCCATCTGCAGACAAGCAGATGTAAGCATAAATCAGTAGACATTAATCTGCAGAATTTTAATGGGCTCGCTTGCTGAATGCATGAAGCATTTCAGACAAATCCTAAATGATGATGACTCTCTCAAAGGCAGAAAGAAAAAAAGAGGAACAAAAATTCTTTCATAAAAAGCAGTGTACAGGTTATTATCTAGCATAATTAGAACAACTTTCCCTGCACAGTTAACATGGCACTAAACTCTTGATACGGCAACAATAGCTTTATCAACACACGTGTAATGGGAAGGGAAGTTTTGCTACCAAGGGGGCAAAAGACTTCCTTGTTGCAGCCACTTCTCCTAGATTCAAACAACACAATGCAGTGTTGACATTGCTTAGACGAGATGACATGAATCTTTACGTCTAGTTAATTTAATTCCTAAATGCATCTACAATTTATTTTTTAAAAAATATTTTCAGAGACCTACAAGGAATGCATATGTGAACAAATCAATCATCACCATGAATATGGTCATGTAAATAAATCATCATCATATCAGATATGTGCTAAACGTTAGAGATGGAGAAGGAGTGTGCTGCTCTTCACAAGCACCCATGGCAGTCACACCAAAATGCACATGTTTTTTGCAGAACAGCTGCAGGCTGTGCTCCCCAAGAGTTTCACCTTTCCGCAACACTCAGCTTCGATATATCTGCAGAGACAGTTGTGGAAGGACACGAAGAATAAAAACGTATCTCGCCATGGTATCAACCGCACCTTGACGTCTCTGAAAAAGCTATTCACACAAAGGCTAAGTAGTGGTTTGCTGCTGGGTTCAGTCCTACTTACCTGAAAAACACAGTGGAGTTTATGTAACTTTGGGCCTGTGATGCCTTTCCTTGTCTTAAATCATCAGCTACCTGTTTTGGCAACATGCCTGTTTTGTATAACAAACAAAAGCCATTATTACCAACGCAAAGTACCCACTAAAACTCAACCTGTATTAATAAATACAAAGTGATTTCACAGTGGAATCCTATACCTGGCCAATACATGCATTTACAGTAACGACAAGATAAAATGCATCCACTGACCAGAAAGCAGCAGATATATATTGACATCAGGCTCTTGGAACTGGTCTTCTCAATTTAGCTTGATTCCACTGGTATGAAATCTCCCACAGTAAGCAGATACCTACCCAAACTCTCAGTTGATTCAGGACACAGAAATGTAAAGTCCTATTCAGACATTCACATCATTCCTCTTCCCACCCCAACCTGGTTCTTTTCTATCTTTGAGAATTTCTTTGGCTCTTACTTATGTATTTTATTTAGATTTTTATTTTTAACAGTGCACTTCATCGGGTTCTCTCTATCTTTATCTTTTCCTTCATACTATCCACTCTCATCTGTTGGGATTCTTTTCTCAAAATCCTCTGCTTTTAAAACTGCGGTCGAATGGGTAGCCTGAGGTCCCTGGGACCACTCTGAAAATAATCATGGCGGGGGGAAATGCTCTACTGCTTTGAGCGGTGGTTGCCAAACTCTCCCCACTCTCCCAATGGGACCACTTGAAAAATGCTAAGAGTCTTAGCAGATCACTTGTTATTTTTCGGTCTGGTGTAGCAATTGTTGTTCCCTGCCCTCGGTGTGGTACGATTTTCTATTATATTTCTATTGCTGTTTTAATTCCTTACATTGTATTTTGTTGCACTGCAATTCGAATTCCATATAGAATATATAAGAGATACAAGAAACACTAGGTAAAGGGACCCCTAACCATTAGGTCCAGTCGTGGCCGACTCTGGGGTTGCGGTGCTCGTCTAGCTTTACTGGCCGAGGGAGCCGGTGTACAGCTTCCGGGTCATGTGGCCAGTAAGACTAAGCCACTTCTGACGAAACCAGAGCAGCACACAGAAACGCCGTTTACCTTCTCGTCACAGCGGTACCTATTTATCTACTTGCACTTTGACAGAAGCGGCTTAGTCATGCTGGCCACATGACCTGGAAGCTGTACACCAGCTCCCTCAGCCAATAAAGCGAGATGAGCACCGCAACCCCAGAGTCGTCTCCGACTGGACCTAACGGTCAGGGGTCCCTTTTCCTTTATATCAGAATAATCTGTATTCCCATTGGTGCGAATCACTCACTATACAACAAGCGGTCTGTCTTCTGCTTTTCATGTGTCAAGTCCTGAGTCCGTTCTGCTACTAACACCTCCAGGTGTTTGCTGTATTTCTCCATCTAGGAAGGCAGAACAAAAATGTATTCAACGCAAGCAACCCCGTCAGACGTTCTGTGTCAGATAATGGGCACTGCATTTACCAGCCGCTGACGTTGCTACCAGACTTCTGCACAAAGGCCTGTGAGACAACCTTGCATAGCTAGGCCCACAAGCCATCAGCAACAAAACAGAACGAACTTGGAGATACCCTAATGTCACGATTCAAAGATGCCTGAGAGCATTTGCAAATTGAAAGCCAAATGCAACCTCCACCAGTCTGCCAAAGGTAGACTTACTTCCAGTTCACAGGCAAGCTGGGATGGAGTGGGGAACTATTAAAATAGCCTGGAATTAATAATAATAATAATAATAATAATAATAATAATAATAATTTATTTGTACCCCGCCCATCTGGCTGGGTTTCCCCAGCAACTCTGGGTGGCTCACAACAGAATGATTAAAAACATGATAAGACATCAAAGATTAAAAACTCCCCTAAACATATATAGAGGAGTATCAGTGGGTGTAGAAATGGTTAAGCAACCTCTTTCCTGTCCATTGGATCCCCCTTGCAAGAAGTACCCGCCCTTCACATCCTCATTAGTTTTATGAGCATAATGCTTCTGCACAATGTCTGTTGTACAGAGATAACGATGAGGAACTATGCCTTGGTATTGGCAGGTGTGAATCTTTGCTAATTCATAAAACCATAAGCCCTCTTTCCTTACTGCCACCTTACTGTCTTCAAACAAGTGACACAGAATATGCATTCCTAAATAACGTTTTCATGTGCTTCAAGCACATCCAAGAGTTGTCCTTTCAAGTCCAACTAAGAACGATTCTTACCAAAGTCATCATCATGTCAACTGGGCTAACTTTGTTTGGGTTCATCTTCTGCAGCAACTTCCTGACTTGCTCAAAGGTAAGCCTTTGCGCTGGATTGCTTTTCCTACACCTCCTGATCAGCTGCAAGAAGGAAAGAAGATTTAGGACATACTGTATTTTTTGCTCTATAACACGCACCTGACCATAACACGCATGTAGTTTTTAGAGGAGGAAAATCCGTAGGCATGCCACCCATAGGCATTCCCTCCATAACATGCACAGGCATTTCCCCTTACTTTTTAGGAGGAAAAAAGTGAGTGTTATGGTGCAAAAAATACGGTAATATAGAAGGGGATGCACGGGAAAAGCTGAAATGGAAAGCTGATATGAAAGCAAATGCTTGTTTTATTTTGAAAGAAAATTATATGGAAATGATGTGTAGATGGTATCTAACACCTAGCAAATTGCCTAACATGTATAAGAAGGTTTCTAATGACTTCTGGAAATGTAAACAGGTAGCTGAATCTTTTTTCATATGTAAGAAAGCATGGGTATTTTGGGAAATGATATATAATGAGATAAAAAAAGATGTTCAAAGTGATTATAACAAAAAACAAAAACAATCCTGAAGCTTTTCTCTTAGGGATTATTATTAGGGAAGCTTTTAATGTTTAATAGGTTATTGTATTTTAGTGTTTTGTTGGAAGCCACCCAGAGTGGCTGGGGAAACCCAGCCAGATAGGCGGGGTATAAATAATAAATTATTATTATTATGGGGACAGAAGTTCCAAAAAAGTTGTTTAAGCTGTTTATGTATGCAGTGCTTTTTTCTAAAAAATATGTTTAGGGGTACTTGCATTTTCCTACTTATATTGAAATACTTTCCCTTAATGAGGCCAAACTTAGATTCACAAAATGTTTAGGGGTATGCGTACCCCTGCGTATCCCCAGAAAAAAACACTGTATGTATGTAACAGCAGCAGCTAGGATTTTTTTATGCACAAAAAATGGAAGGAAGAAGTTCCCACCAAACATGAATAGATAAGTAAGAAAATGGACAATGCAGAACTGGCGAAGCTAACAGTTAAAATAAGAGAACCTGATGATGATTGCTTTATGGAAGAATGGAAGCCTTTCTCAGACTATTTAAAGAACTATTATACTATGATGAATTCGCAAGCAGGGTTTGCACTATGAGCAACAGAAGGAATTAGAGATTATAGTATTGTTGTTATGGTATAAGAGATAGAAAGTAGGGTTCAGCAGAGGGGAAGAAATAACAGGGGGTGGGAAGTCGACAAAAGAAAAGAAAAACTTACTACGTATTGAAGTGCATATGTGAAACTTTGGAAACTTGATAAAATACAATTTAGAAAAAGAAAAAGATACAGGATAATATGTCACTCCTTCCAGCTCAAATGAGGTTCTGGCCTCCGCCAGTCAGCATCTCTTAATCACCGCCAGTTGCCAGAATAGGCTCAACACTTTATCAAAATGTATTATTACTGCTTATTAATTTATATACCACTTGTATGTCCAAGTGGCTCCCAAGTGGTCTTGCAGCTATAAAATCAATACATAATTAAAATGCACAGCAACAGGTCCATGGGGACATTAAAACAGCCTTAATTCAAATATACAGTAATGACCGCTCCCCACATCAAATGGGGGACGCATTTTGCGTGGTCGCACGCAGCCCCCCGGATCCCAGTGCGGCTCCTGGTAGTTTGGGCTGGCTTCATTCTCCCCAGGCTGGATACCTGGAGGTCTCCGCCTACCTCAGCCAATCGCCCAATCCCGCCTGGGGGGGCATTGCCAGGGGATTGGCCAGGTAAGGGGAGGGACCACCCTGCCCACACAACAGAAGGTGAATCCTACCTGCGAAGCGTCAGTCGGCTCCCGAGCTTCTCCCACCCTTCCCTCCCTCAGTTAAGTCTTCTTTTGCAGGTTAACCTCTTCTCCACAGGTACACAGGCGCTGCTACGTCATGGTCACTGTTGAAGGGCCGGAAAGGAATTTTCCAGCATTGGCAGGTTTTGCCTTTCCCATAGCAAAATGTCACAACTTTGGCGGTTTCAGGCCTTGGGTGGAATCCTTTAGTTTATCTTCCTAAATGGGGGGGGGGAGCCGTGAAGCTGTGACCCACGCCCCCCTTGAGGCGGTGATACCAGGGTTCCCATTAAAGGGGTCTTGGGGGGGAGGAAGGCAATGGCCATACGCCAAGAGGTTGCCTCCAACGGCGGCGAAACGGGGGGCAGGCTCTCTGCTTGAACATATGTTCTCCAGAGCCAGCCCAATCCCCACACATTCTGGATAACCCTGAAGTCTCCCAGATCCCCGGCTGGGGACTGGGAAGGATAAATGCCCAATGCCTGAGCCAAGGTCTCCCTACATCTGAAACTTAATAAAGTTGTGGCCAATTTTAATCCCATAGTATGTTGTCTTGAGTCATTATTCCGCTCAGAGGTTGCTTGGGGTTGGGGGGACTCCGCCTGCCCATGCAAAACAAACCATTCAAAAGTGCAACAATGAAAACGACAGAATCAGAAGTTAAGTTCAGGGGAATGCTTGTCTTCAGAATGCCAACACTGATGGTGACGCTCTTATTTTAGCAGGGAGGGCATCCCACAACCTTGACATCACCAGAGAAAAAGCCCACATCTGTGTTGCCGCAAGCCAATAATCATCAAACTTTGGAAAAACGTGAGTTCAATTAGCTAGTTGTAGTGCCCTCTATAGGAGAAAATCTACAGATACAATGTAGATAGATCTTCCAAAGTAGTTACTCTAGAGCAGGATTCCCCAAACTTGGGTCTCCAGCTGTTTTTGGACTGCAACTCTCAGCATTCCTAGCTAGCAGGACCAGGGGTCAGGGATGATGTGAATTGTGGTCTTAAACAGCTAAAAAAAGTCTTTAAAAGTTGGAGACCCTGCTCTAGAGTAATCTGAAAGAAACAAGGAAGAAGGGGGAGTGGTCTTGGCTTCCCCGAATCTGTTTTTCCCCATGCAGACAAACTAAAATGACAAGGTGACGCTTGAATTCTTTTAAACTAGACAGACTTTCCCCCCTCCAGACACATATTTTGGCTCATTGACAGCCACCTTTCAAATGCAGAAGCTAGAGCACAACGACTATTAAATACGATCATGGATCTGACAGTTTATAACCACAGGAAGTCATAAAACTCCAGTAGCTGCATATTAAAAGCATCATTTACTGCATTCTGTTTTTGTGAGACAAGCTGACATTTCAGTTTGTCAGAATAATACTATTTTTAAGGAATATTAAAGCCACACATTGTTCTGCAGAGTCTTGGAGGAGGAATTGGAAACTTCCCACTTCTTCTTCTCCTTCTTGCATCTGTGTGTTTTGTTTTTAAGCGAAAAAGAAACCTTCCCTTTCTTTCAAGGGCAACATGGATCGTGGATCGTGTCTGCTACAATTGCCAAACATTTCACAGACCCCTTGTACTTTTCCCAGCAGCCTGATCCACTGATAGTAGCAGATGATAGTGCTCATCTCATCATCACAGAACACTTCACCTGCTGGTTTCTGCAGATCAAGCTGGTATTAAATGGATAAGCCGCAGGCCAAGGCAGTTCCCAGCTCGCAATTTCAGTCCACTTCTGCAACAATACTTCCACCATAAAGAAGACAGGAGTATATTAGCATTTGGTTTACCTCTACATATTCTGTAGGGCAGGGACAGGCATGCTCAGATTTTTCTGATATTAATTCTGTCAAAGCGGGGCACAAAGAATATTCCTCTGATTGTGTATCATCTTTCTGGAAAACACAAATACTGCCTTTATTTATTTATTTTTAAGGAGATTGTAATCATAGAACAGAAATCAGCAAGAGTCGCGTGCTCTACAGACATTGGCTTTCAAATCACATGCTTTGGGGCAAGCCAGTCTGATGGGTGTCACAATAATAAATTATTATTATTATATAATACATTTTATGCTGTGAACAGCCCTGAGATCTACAGATGAAGGACAGTCTACAAATTAAACAAATAAAAGGATAACAGTAATAATATTTTAGAATCGCCAGTTTTGTCATTGGTGCCATTTATTCACAGCAAAATTTCACATATTGCCCCTTTTTGTTCAAGAAAGTGTGTGTGTGTGTGTGTGTGTGTGTGTGTGTGTGTGTTGCTTTAAGGCAGGCACATCCAACAGGTAGATCACTGGAACTCTGTGGTAGATCACCGGTAGATCACTGGCTTCCCCCAAAGAAGCTCAACAACTTTGACCTGAACCCCCAAAAACAGGGCTTTCCTTCCTAAGAAAAGCTCAACAACTTTGACCTAAACCCCCGAAAAGGGGGTTAGATCACTGCCAGTTTTTAACTCTGAGGAGATCGCAGTCTCTTGGGAGCAGGCCACCCAAAGACATCTATACTCTGCTTTTCAATGAATTCCTACAACCCGTTCTAGCACTTCTCACGATCTTGCAAAAACCCTCACCTCAAATTCAACACAGTTTGAGGTTCTGTTATAGGATCCAGGAGGACACCCCAAGTTCAGACAAAAGAAGATTCGTTCAACAGCTCTTGACTTGAATGCTGTTCGTTTCAAGGTAAGTGGTAAGGTACGCTGGTAAGGTTCACAGGTCAATAGAGAAGCACTAATCTGTGAGTACAGTGGTACCTTGGTTTAAGAACAGCTTAGTTTATGAACAACTTGGATTAAGAATGCTGCAAACCCGGAAGTAGGTGTTTTGGTTTGTGAACTTTGCCTTGGAAGCAGAACATGTTCTGCTTCCTGTTGAGTGTAAATTGAGTCCTCTGCTGCTATGGGAAAGCATGCTTTGGTTTAAGAATGGATTTCCGGAATGGATTAAGTTCATAAACCAAGGTACCACTGTATTCTAAAATGACCCAAGCAAGGGTGTGTGACTCAAACATTCTGGCCTTCTCAGCATAACAAAACCAAGATAACACTCTAATTCTCAAGTATTTAAAAACAGATATTTAATTACCCGAAAAACCAGTCAAGTTGATTTGGAAATTATGCAAGATTTTGCACAAAATATATGAAAATATAACATTTGGGGGGGGGGAACCTGAGGGCTCAGTAATAATTAACTGCTTATCTCTGACTGTTTCCCCCAACAGCAGTCTCCCACAATCCCAACTCCCCCCAAACACCCTGGAATTATTGATTTCTAAGATTTATAAGGTTACAACAATAAAGTATACAATTACAAAAACAAACAAAACCACTACAATTTTAAAACACACAAAATCATTCCCAAATGGAGCAGAACAGTCAAGTACCAGTCATCATAGATCTTACCAGGGTGGGGTCACTTCTTGTTGCTATTTCGATTAAAATGATGGCATAGCTGCAAAATTGGAGATCAGTCATTACCAGTGGCAGAACATTGGAAACAAAATGATTAGTTTAGTTTGTAAATGCAGGAGCCAATTTTCAAGAGAAAAAACTCGACAAAGCAGCATGCGAAGACGAAATTAAGCAACCGTCATGCAATGCAAAACATATCTAAAAATTTCTAAAACACCCGGAATTCGTAATAATCTTAAAAACCAGCACAAATCCTCAAGCATAAACCTGAAGACCCAGTAAACTAAGAATAAAACGTTTTGCAGCTCGGTTTAGATCAGTCTTGAAAAGTGGAAGCAGTTGACCTTCAGAGCCCATTCAAACAATCGACAGGTGGAGCTTGCCTAATCTCAAGCAAAATTTAATTCCACAGATGTGGGGCCACTACCAAGAAGAGGCGACAACTTTGAAAAAGCTCTCATCTGGCTAAACTTAGCCATGATGATTAAGCCCCATTAAAAGCAACAATACTTTGGCTTACGATTGCTTAATTTCAACGGAACTTAAGGCACAACTATATGTATATCTACCTAGAAATAAGTTTCACTCTGTTCAGTAGGGCTTACTCCCATGAAAGTATGCACAGGGTTGTAGCTTTAGTAACAGCCAACTTTCAGGTGGATTGGGGCTAGTATCTTTAAATAAGTCACAATGGAATGGATAAATGAAAGCCAATTATTTAGTATAGTGAGGTGCTTCTGTCTACTTCAGATGGTGTGCCATCTTCCCGCTGAATGAACTCAACCAAGTATAGGTCCCATTCCTTATAAATAACATTGTTATGCCCTATGGCTAATGAAATAAAGTTCCCTTTAACCTCAGTACATTGGTACCTTGGTTCTCAAACTTAATCAGTTCTGGAAGTCCGTTCCAAAACCAAAGCGTTCCAAAACCAAGGCGTGTTTTCCCATTAAAAGTAATGCAAAATGGATTAATCCATTCCAGACTTTTAAAAACAACCCCTAAAACAGCAATTTAACATGGTTTTTACTAACTAACGAGGCCATTGATCCATAAAATGAAAGCAGTAAACAATGTACTACAGTCACACAATCAATCAATCAATCAATCAATCAATCCTTCAGTAGCTGAACTGGTTTTCACACAGTCACAAAAACAAACAAAAAAGAGCCGCAAAAACAAAAATGCAAAATAAATAGCAAAAACAGACAGAGCTCAGTGTGGCACTCAAATTGGAAGTGTAACACTCAAATCGGAAGCGTAACACTCAAAACAGAAGTGTGGCACTCAAAACGGAGCATGTTCGGCTCCTGAAAAAAGTTCTCAAACCGGAACACTTTCTTTCAGGTTTGCAGTGTTTGGGTTCCAAGTTGTTTGAGTACCAAGGCATTTGAGAACCAAGGTACCACTGTATAAATGTAAAACAAAGTACCACATGTTAGAAGTGCCTCCAGGAACCTTCAGAAATTGCCCAGGACAAATGTGGATGTACTCTCCAGCTGACAATCAGAAGACTGATGATTGTCATCACCATACAGGAGAACAGAGCTCCTGCAGTTTTAACAGTCATGCATAAAAGAGGGGTTTTTAGTTTGCCATGCAATTTAAAGGCACAGGAGCTCATGTCCTCTTTTGTATCTGGCGACATTATATCTAAGAAGATGAAACATCTGCGAAACTCCTTTGAAACTTGCTAAATGGGAATTAACCTTGATGCATTGCTAAAAGAGGATCAAACATTAGAGGACTTGATCCATTACACTCATTTTCACACCTCCAAAGAGGCGAGTCTGATGATATGCTGAAGAAGCACATATCAGGCTGTGGGTGCAAAACATGCAACAGATGACACCGAGCGCAGGTGTTTTTGTTAAGTTTAAGCTCTTCCTCCCCAAAATGGCCTCAGAGGGTTGAAGAACTGCCTGCCATAATGGGGACAAATTATTCGTGCTGCCAAGTGATCCCAGATTGTGCCACTTCAGTCTACGTCGTTCAGTTCTTTGAAAAACGAGTATGCTGCTTCTGGGACGATGAATAGCTATTCATAATATTAACAATAAATAAAACAGAACAATAAAAAAACACAGAAGGAGACTCAATGGAATAATAAAAGCAGACCAAGCAGAGAACCCATAAGACTGCTAGTTAAAAACAGCTCAGATACTATGCTTGAAGGCTTAGATGTAAGCTCTTATCTTACAATTTCTAACCCCCTCAACTACAGTCGAATCCTAGGATCTCAAAAACCTTGGCTCCTGAACAAATTGGCTCCCCAAAGATTGAAACCCGGAAGTGAGTATTCCGGTTTTTGAACAATTTTCAGAATCTGAACGTCCGGCATGGCTTCTGATTGGTTGCAGGAGCTTCCTGCAATCAGGAATTGGCTTCCTGCAGCCAATCAGAAGCCGCGCATTGGTTTCTGAACGTTTTGGAAGTCAAACAGACTTCCAGAACAGATTCCGTTCAACTTCCAAGGTACGGCTGTATTGGTCATACTGGCTAGGACTGATGGTACTTGATTAGTAACATCATCTGGGGGAAACAGAGTTAGAGAAGGCCTCAAAAACTTGGAAAAGCTCTGCTGGGTGGCCTCGTGAAGATCTGATGGGGGCACAGAAGTAATGCTTTGTCCCTTCTCTTTCTCTCATTCAGTGTGATTATGAAAGAATAATCTGTCATACAGCAGTACAGTAAAGGTGGAGGGACCCCTGAGCGTTAGGTCCAGTCACGGACGATTCTGGGGTTGCGGTGCTCTTCTCGCTTTACTGGCCGAGGGAGCCGGTATACAGCTTCCGGGTCATGTGGCCAGCATGACTATGCCACTTCTGGCAAACCAGAGTAGCGCATGGAAACGCCACTTACCTTCCCGTTGGAGTGGTGCCTATTTATCTACTTGCACTTTGACATGCTTTCGAACTGCTAGGTGGGCAGGAGCAGGGACAGAGCAACGGGAGCTCACCCCGTCGTGGGGATTTGAACAACCAACCTTCTGATTGGCAAGCCCTAGGCTCAGTGGTTTAGACCACAGCACCACCCACGTCCCAAAACAGGAGTACAGTAGTCACAGCTTATTTGCAAAACAGCGAATAATTCCAGCAACACAAAAGCAACCCCCCATGTTTGTTCCGTCATATAGTAACACAGTTTACTTCGATTATACATTAAAAAGGGGAGTGGGGGAGACCCATTTATGATCATCATCACCTGTACACATCTGCAACTGGAGTTGGTTCAAAGTTTGGTGTGGCGTGAGCTTCAGGCGCCAGATATATTTGTGTGAAGTGCTTATGAGGAACATTGGACTCCATTAAATAATCTTCTTTTCTATAGAACTGCAAGCCATAATCTGACACAAGGAGAAGCAAAGGAGGGGAAGGGGGAAAAAAGGATCAGAAATTTCCCCTGGTTGTTTTGCATGATTTTGAACTGAGTGCCACAGGAGATGTTCATTTCAACACACTCAGTTGGGAAATGGGCTGATTCAGTTTAGAGCTGAAATGAATTCTCCTCAGCAAATTCCAGACATGAGGACGAGAGCAAATTCCCTGGATGTCAGAATATTAGTCACATTTTAAATATTCAGCATCAGCATTTCACATTCAGAGTTCTGTCAGTAGCAGCCAGCCCTTTCCCACATCCGACAGCTGTCACTCAGTAAGGATGAACATCTGACTGTCTCGCTTTGCAATGGGCAGTCCAGGACAGCTAACATGCTGTCATTCCGAACTAGCTTGATCTGCCTTCCGGGCTGGTGTCACATAGTTAAATCTGATTGGCTGTCACCGTGACTAAGAGAAAGGAGGGCTATTCTCCAAACATAAGCAAGGGCCCAAATAGATTAAGCTGCAGGGAGATGCTGCTATCTGAATTCCAGATATGGGGAGGCAGGGCGAGATTCATCTCCCTGCCTGAGTCTCTCCGGGAATGGAGCCAGGGAAGTCTCCCTGGGAAAGCCCTAGCTCATTCCCTTGGAATGCATAACATATAAGGGTCTAATCTATGACAAGGTAAAAGGTAAAGGACCCCTGGACAGTTATGAGCGACTATGGGATTGTGGTGCTCATCTTGCTTTCAGGCCGAGGGAGCTGGCATTTGTCCACAGACAGCTTTCCGGGTCATGTGGCCAGAATGACTAAACCACTTCTGGTGCAAGGAGCACCACGACAAAAACCAAAGCACACGGAAACGCCATTGACTATCCCACCGCAGCGGTACCTACTTATCTACTTGCACTGGCGTGCTTTCGAACTGCTAGGTTGGCAGGAGCTGGGGCAGAGAAATGGGAGCTCACCCCGTTGTGGGGATTTGAACCACCAACCTTCTGATCAGGAAGCCCAAGAAGCTCAGTGATTTAGACCAGTGCCACCCACGTCCCTACAAATGCATATTATCTAAGGGTGTAATCTATGACAGATCCTACTGAGAAGATCTTAACAGCTGGGGAGCATCGCTCGGGGAGCAGAGCAAGTCCTGACATGATATTTTAATTAATTAATTAGTTTCTTAAGTGCCACTCATTAATTACCCAAGGGTACATGTGACTAAAGGGGTGAATAAAATGATGTACGTGACATGCTGCATACAGCCCAAGGGCTACTGTAATATAGTAGCTAAGCTACAATCCTAAACACACTCACTAGGGAGTAAATAGATGTGTTTGGAATCTGTGCATCAGGCTGAATGAGAAGGAGCGGCAAACCTGACAGTCCCTGGTTCCAAACCTGTCTGTATCACAAGCTCAGTAGGCAGACGTTGAAACAGGCTACTGTCTCCCTGCATCAGCCCCCCACATCTGCAATACACAGATAATAGTTCTGATCATCTACCCTATAGCAGTCTTGCAAGGATTATTCATATATGTGAAGCACTTTGAACATTATTATCTATGCACAGAGTATCTGCCAGTCTGTTCCTTCAACTCCCTTTGAGTTTGATCTGCCAAACATTTGGGGTTTTGTTTTTTTTTGTTTTTTACCGTTATCCAGTGAGTGTTCACAATACGGCTGTGAGAAATAGCAAAGAGAACCTCCTATATTAAATGATAAACATTACATGTGTTAAAAAACAACAATCCCACCCTGAAGACACGTTGCTAATTGCTGTTTGTTGCTAATGGGTCTAAGTTGAGCCATTTGACATTTGCAAGGTAACGTCGCATAGATTCGTCTTTTTCAGGAGATGTGGGGATGGCGACAGCAGCACTATCCCATAATAAGGCAATATCCACTCATACTTTTCCATAGAACAGAGAGAACAGTTCCTGTTCCGCTTACCTGAAATCTTACAAACCCAGCGGTCATCAATGACACAGTTGGTGGACTTTAATCGCCCATGATAGATCCTGTGCTGGTGAAGATACGCCATTCCCTGAGCAATGTCTGTGGCGAAAGAAAGCCTAAGGTGGTGGAGATAATAATCGGTGTTAATATGGCCTACTAAACCATAGGGCTAGACTTACACTTCAAGAGCTCCGTGAAACAAATGGGCAAAGATTGCAGTGATGTTTTGACTTGCATCTGTTGTAAACAAAAATTGCCCTTTTCCCTTATGGGGTATCCAAGAGCCCATATAGAGTCCTTACATAGGTTCCCTATTGGTAGGAGAGAATAACAGAGGCCAACCAGAGAATACTGAGAAGCAAAGCAACTAGTAAGCTTGATCTTTATTGATCTGTTGCAACAGGGTGCTCCCTTCACCCGCAGGAGAGAGGAGGGACCCAGAAAAATGGCATGCAAAGCCTTATAAAGACTTTTGAAATTCCCATCCTGTAGATCAAGACCACCCCCAGAAACATCATACATACATCACAGAAGAGGCAGTCTTAAAACAGAAATTTGAATGTTGTTTTTCTCCTGTCATTTTTTATCTCCTGTCTGGCAGGTTACTTGATTGGATTGCCTGGGGTGCCTGGCCATTCTTTTGTAGTGATAAATACTTAGTTCCTGGGCCAGGTCACAGGCTCACACCCTATTCAAACACAGACATACCCTTAAGACAGGATTTGTGAAGGAAAAGACAATGGGGAGGCTTTTCCATTTTCCTTTGACCTTGCAGAGAAAACATTTGGTCAGTTTGGGACAGTTTGGGAATCAAAATGGTTCCAGGTCGGTCTTCCTGTGCTGATCTATGTATGTGCTTGGTTGGTACACTTATGAACATTTAACATATATCTAAGACCTCAAAATTCCTATCACACATCCAATAGGGCCTGCCAGTATGGCTTCCACAAAGTGTCTCAATAATTATCCCCCCTCAAATCCACAGACGGTTTGCTCTTCTTGTTCACTTCCTGCTTGCACTAGGTCGGTCCCTTCTTACATTTCAGGGATCGTTTCTATGGTGTCAAACTAGAAAAGTGTACTTGAAAATGATCCCTTACACATGCCTCCTGATAACTTAGGCTTGCATTGTTCCATGTGCAATGCTATCTGGAGGAGTAATCTAGAGTATTTGTGGGGGACCGATCTTTCGGGTCAGCTGGGGGCATGGACAACCCCCAGGCAAACGACAGGAACGCTTCCAGCCTGTTCCTCCCATCAGCGAACAGCTCTAGGGAGTTCCGACAGCCTTCCCTGACGATTTATAGTGACTCACGCCTTGGACACACTGAGCACACATCCAGAGTCCAGCAGAGATGAAATGCAGTCAGAACTAGGCTGGGTTGTAAGCACTAAGCTACATTATTAAGCATAAAGGTAAAGGGACCCCTGACCGTTAGGTCCAGTCGTGGCTGACTCTGGGGTTGCGGCGCTCATCTCGCTTTATTGGCTGCAGGAGCCGGCGTACAGCTTCCGGGTCATGTGGCTAGCATGACTAAGCCGCTTCTGGCGAACCAGAGCAGTGCACAGAAACGCCATTTACCTTCCCGCCGGAGTGGTACCCATTTATCTACTTGCACTTTGACGTGCTTTCGAACTGCTAGGTTGGCAGGAGCAGGGACTGAGCTACAGGAGCTCACCCCGTCGCGAGGATTCGAACCGCTGACCTTCCGATCGGCAAGTCCTAGGCTCTGTGGTTTAACCCACAGTGCCACCTGCGTCCCTTTGTTAAGCATAAGGCAGAGCAAAAGAAAACATGTCTCCTCTCTCTGGTCTTCCTCGGAGGGAAGTCAGAAGTGAAAGCAAAAACAAACAGAAACAGAGTACAGTAAACATCTGCTCCCGTGATTCCAGCAGTCGGTGCTGGAATGCATAACACAGACATGTGATGAACCAATCCTACACAATATCTGCACAGTGAGAGGAATAGAAACCCAACTCTCATCAGCCCCCACAAGATTTTCTTTGCCGTTCTTTGCCCCTCACAAGCCGTAGACAAAGAAGTAGTGAGAGAATACCAAGGGGGGTGGCATCATTGGCCTTTCTCAACTTGCGGGTCCCCAGATGTTGTTGAACTACAACTCTCATCACTCCTAGCTAGCAAGGCCAGAGCTCAGGGATGATGCGAGTTGTGGTCCAACAACATCTGGGGATCCACAGGTTGAGAACTGCTGGACTAGACGGTCCTCAGGGTCCCTTCCTATTCTACAATTCTATGATTTCTGTGATTTCTTATGATCATACCATGCATCTTCTTTCACTAGACATTACTGTTGAGATGCAGAGAAGAAAAGACATTGGCTGATGGCACCTCTTGGAACTTGTGGCTGGAGCCTTGAGTCCCTAAACCAGGGGTTGTCCACCTGGTCCCTATCACCCACTAGTGGGCATTTCAGGATTCTAGGTGGGCGGTAGGGGGTTCTACGGCACAAGCTGAATCCTCCTTCCATCAAGCACTGGTGGGCAGTAAAGAAATTTTACCATCAAGAAAGATACATTAGTGGGCGGTAGGTATAAAAAGGTTGACTACCCCTGCCCTAAACAATGCACAGCAGTTGCTGTTATTTTTTTTTGAAAAAAAGTTGCGCTATGGCCCTAAGCTAAAGGTAAAGGGACCCCTGACCATTAGGTCCAGTCGTGACCAACTCTGGGGTTGCGGCGCTCATCTCGCTTTATTGGCCAAGGAAGCCAGCGTACAGCTTCTGGGTAATGTGGCCAGCATGACTAAGCCACTTCTGGCAAACCAGAGCAGTGCACGGAAACGCCATTTACCTTCCCGCCAGAGCAGTACCTATTTATCTACTTGCACTTTGACGTGCTTTCGAACTGCTAGGTTGGCAGGAGCAGGGACTGAGCAACGGGAGCTCACCCCGTCATGGGGATTCGAACCGCTAACCTTCTGATCGGCAAGTCCTAGGCTCTGTGGTTTAACCCACAGCGCCACCCACGTCCCTATGGCCCTACCCACACGCAAAAAATCTAATCAGCAATTTGATCCCAAAGTAAGGTTCTCTCTGTCAGTCACTCTTAAAAGATCACTTCAGGCTCAGCATCACACTGGCATCTTATCTACCTAATGATGCCTCGCTGTAATTAAAATCCCATATTCTATCAAAAACACCATCTGGTGAAATGATTACACATACCTTCTTATCAGTCTGAAAGTCAGTGAGGGCTTTGTTGTTATTTCATCTATATATAATCTTATCTCATATCAATATAGCAGCTACATTTTTTTTCTTGTTGAGAATTTGTCCATGAAGGGAATGATGCAAATCACACCAGCAAGACAACCTCTGCCCCGCCAAATACTGTCTTCTGTTATTAACACTTTAATATAATGGATTCTAAAAATATATAAAAAACTCTCATTCTATAAATGCTGTTGTAATACATTATAGCTTCTCTTTTCCCTCATGCGATATAAAGAACTGATTTGAATTGGAGAGAGAAAGAGAGGAAGGAAGGAAGGAAGGAAGGAAGGAAGGAAGGAAGGAAGGAAGGAAGAAAGAAAGAAAGAAAGAAAGAAAGAAAGAAATTTTGCTGTGAGTGCTGCAAGACCTGCTCCCTGTTTTGCTCACCTATTTCTACCTGCCCTGGGAGGCAGGGACTTTGATGGATTCTTTTTTCTGGAAAAAATCTACAAAAGCTGATGAAACCATCTTACTGTTAGCCTATAAAGACCAGCCGCTCAGGATGCTGAAAGAATATTGGGGTGAGGTATGACATGGTTTGCATTTTTTGGTACCGACTCTCTTCCGAGGCACTGGAAATCGCTTCTGCACATACCCAGATGCTGAAAATCGCTTCTGCACAGGTCTGATTTTGGGCGTCTGGGCATGCGCAGAAGCAATTTCCGGCGCCACAGACATGCACATATGTGATTGCTGCTGTCGCGCTGTGCTGGCCCGGCCCATTGAGGATCTCCTTGGGAGTGATCCAGCCCATGCCCAGTAAGCCTTGCTGACCCCTGATATATATCAACAGGATGGCAGGCGATTCTTCCTCAGTGCTGTTCCCTTGTGCACACGCCCCTCTCCAGGTATTCTGAACATGCCGGATTTGGCCCTTTCAGTGGATGGGTGAGGTGTCCCCAGTTCTCCTTCATACAACTTTGGCTCAACAGCCTTGGTTAAACAAAGCTCCACAATTTAGGTGGCTTCCTTAAAAGAGCTCACCAGTTTTGGAGGTGTCAGGAACGCAAACCCTTACAAGGCAGATTCCACAATAAACAATCACATATCAGAATAAATTTGGACTAAAATGTGGGTGAACTTCCATGAGAATTAAAACAAACAAACAAACTGAGGTGCAGAACTAAATTTAAGATGGAGGGGATAGAGAGAGAGAGAGAGAGAGAGAGAGAGAGAGAGAGAACGAGAAACTAAAATTGACAGATTTCCCTCATCCCAAGCAGTAACTGTGAGGAAAATGCCAGCATTGACTTCTACCTTTGTCACCTTTCTCTCACCTGAAGCCCCAGTTTAAAGGGATGTCTTCATTGAGCAGCACATCAGTCAAACTTCCTTTAGGACAGTATTCCGTGATTATGGCAATATTTGGCGCTTCAATACAGCCTCCAATGAATTTGCAGAGGTTTGGGTGGTCCAGTTCTCTGTGACAAGCAGGCAGGAATTAGGTTGGGCCATATACTTTCTAAGAACACAACATTGCATTTTGGACACTTTCCCTTGCAAGAGAAGCCTCTCCTTGAGAAGGGACCTCGGGCTTGAGCCCCAGAACAACTCCATAGCCACTGTGAAGTAGTTGCTTTGGGAGTTGAAACCATATGAGCGAAAGCTCAGAAAAAAGCTCAATATGGAGGCCAAATGGCCGAAATATTGGGAAATTCTGGAACAAGAGGGAGATAAATTGAAATTGCAGAGTTTTGAGAAACTAAAAAACAAAGTGCGAGACTGGCTTCATTATTATCAGATAATGGAGGCATACAGTTTGGACAAAAAAATTGGATTCCAGGTGGAAAAATCAAAATTGGAAACAGAACTGTTAGAACCCAAAACTAAGATTTTGTCAAGGATGTATAACTTGCTGTTGAAATGGAATACTCAGGATGAAACGGTGAAATCTGCTATGATTAAATGGGCACAAGATGTTGGACATAACATAATGATGGTGGACTGGGAACAGTTATGGACCACAGGTATGAAGTTTACGGCATGTAATGCCTTAAGAGAGAATATTATGAAAATGATATACAGGTGGTACATGACACCAGTCAAGCTTGCAAAAATCTATCATTTGCCCGATAATAAATGTTGGAAATGTAAAGAAACTGAAGGTACATTCTTTCACCTTTGGTGGACGTGCCCAAGGATTAAGGCTTTCTGGGAGATGATTTATAATGAAATGAAAAGGGTATTTAAATATACCTTTCTGAGGAAACCAGAGGCCTTTCTCCTGGGCATGGTCGGCCAATTGGTGTTAAAGAAGGACAGAACTTTCTTTATGTATGCCACAACAGCAGCAAGAATACTTATTGCAAAGTATTGGAAGACACAAGATTTACCCACTCTGGAAGAATGGCAGATGAAGGTGATGGACTATATGGAACTGGCGGAAATGACTGGCAGAATCCGAGACCAGGGAGAAGAGTCGGTGGAAGAAGATTGGAAGAAATTTAAAGACTATTTACAGAAATATTGCAAAATTAATGAACGTTAGAATGATGTCAAAATGAAGTTAAGTGGTTTTAGCAGTAATGTTATAAAGGTGTATGTAAAAATGGATTGTTAACAGGTGAAAATCCAAAGTTATAATATATTAAGTTAAAGGATTAAGACAAAAACAAAGAGGGAAAGGAATTGCTGAATTAACTAATTAGAACTGGAATACAAAAAAGGGAGGTGTGAGGAGGTCAGGGAAGCAAGGAAATGAAATGTAAGGCATGGAAGGATTGATGTGTTTTTTAAGTGTTTTTTATCTTTTTTCTGTATTTTGTATTTTTTTCTTTTTTATTTCTTTCTTTTTCTTTTCTTTTTATCTATGTAATTTTTTCTTTGAAACTTTAATAAATATCATTTAAAAAAAAATGAAACCATATGTAAGCCTGTAACCCACTTACTGGGAGTAAGTTTCACTGGACTCAGCAGGACTTACTTTTGAGTAGATATGCATAGGATTGGTCTGTAAATTTGTGTGTGTATATGTGTGTGTGCGTCGTAGCTCCCAAAATCTGCTATAGATGGACACAATGCTTTTTTCTGGGGGGACGCAGGGGTGCACATACCCCTAAACATTTTGTGAATCCACCATATTTTTCACTCCATAAGACACGCCTGACCATAAGACACACCTAGTTTGTAGAGGAGGAAAGCAAAAAAAAAAGCTCCCCATCTCAATTTGACAGAGCGTGTGAGGGAGAAAGATCCCCCTCTGAGCTGGTTCCTGGCTGCTCTCATGCAAGTCACAGAGCCCCTCAGATGGAGGGAACTCTAAAGAGTGTTCTAAAGCCCTCTTCCCCCGCCTCGCCTCATCCACCCCCTCGCGCGGGTGCCGCCATTAGGATGCTCACACGGGCGATGTGCCACACCCCCGACGCTCCGGTAACCAAAGTCCTCAGCTCCGCCACTGCCAGGGACAACACATTTGCTCCATAAGATGCACAGACATTTCCCCTTACTTTTTAGGAGGGAAAAAGTGCGTCTTATGGAGCGAAAAATACGGTAAGTATGGCCCCATTGAGGGGCAGTATTTCAATATGAGTAGGAAAATGAGAGTACCCCTAAACATTTTTTTTAAAAAAGCACTGGTGCACAGGTGTAGCCAATGTGAGGTTCCCCAGAAGCTTCTGGACTGCAGCTTCCATCAACGCCAGCCAACGTAGCTGACAGTAATGGATGATAGGAGTTGTAGTCTAACATCATCAAGAGAGAACCATGTTGGCCACTCCTGGATCATTAGAGAGCCCACAGAACTTCTGATCAGTTGTGACTAAGCAGCAGAGAGAGGAATGGGATATGTGAGGAGTGAGGGAGATAGAGATGGAGACAAAAAGAGTTGAGCCAAAATGGGAAACCGATTGTGGGAGGTTCCACTGGTAGTGAAGTCTTTACTTTTTCTCATTTATTAGGAGGGACTCTTATTTGACCACGTGGCTCAAGATCACGCCATGGACTCTTGGCTTCTGTCACATGGGTTCATTTCCTGAGAATTTCAGTATTTATTTTCGTCTCTCCCCCGCACCCCGCTCCATAAAAAAGGCCCACATTTCTATACCTGAAGGAGCGTCTCCACCCCCATTGTTCAGCCCAGACATGGAGGTCTAGCACCGAGGGCCTTCTGGCGGTTCCCTCACTGCGAGAAGTGAAGCTACTTGGGAACCAGGCACAGGGCCTTCTCGGTAGCAGCACCTGCCCTGTGGAAGGCCCTCCCATCAGATGCCAAGGAAATAAACAACTATCTGACTTTTAGAAGACGTCTGAAGGCAGCCCTGTTTAGGGAAGATTTTAAATGTTTGATGTTTTATCATGTTTTTAATATTCTGTTGGGAGGCACCCAGAGTAGCTGGGGAAATAAATTCCTCAAACTCAGATTAAGTTGGTGCTGCGAGGGCTGGGGGAAGGGCATCAAATGACCTCAACGGGGCAGCATATTACCAAGGTCCACCCCTGTTTCTCTCAGCCATTCAGAGACTGCTGCTGGCTTCGAAACAAGAAGGGATGTGGGAAGGACTTCTTAGCATACCTTCAGCACATACAATATATCATAGGACAGGTTGTCTAGTTGATCCTGAAACACACATTTAAACATGCCAGTAAAGGCAATATAGGTCCCAGTTCACTTTTTGAAACAAGTGGATAGTGAATTCAAATTTAAGGAGCACACACTTGTGTGCATATCTATAAAGGCACCCATAACACTTTTAAAAGTAGCTTACCTTACTTGTTTGACTTCTTTACGGATGGTCCTGGTGAGAGTAAACGTCTTGTTCATTATTTTCTTGATGGCCACTGTTCTACCATCACTGGAAGAAGGCAAAGACAGTTGTTTAGCAACCAGACGTAAATAAAAAAACCACAACCCCTCCGTATATTTATCTATTACAGTTATATTATCTGTGGTGCAAAAAACCCCACAATACATTGTTCTTCTCCTTTTCTCTTTTATCCTCACAAGAGGTAGGCTGAGAGGTGGTAACAAGCCATAGTTCACCTAGGGTGGATCGACACACAGAAAAAAAACCCACTATAAGTAAGTTAGAAATTAAATCGTTATAACAAAAGGGGGAAAAAACGCTATGGAAAATCACATAGAATTTTTTTTTACTCTCCAGTGCCATCTGGTGTTGTATGTTTATAATGCATTCAAAACACTGTTTTTTTACTAATGTAGTTGAGTCATTAGTGAGCTTAACAGCGGCTGGCCAAACCATGTGGGACAACATGTGCCTTTGTATTTAATATACAAATAGCAGCAGCTGTGGGGGAACAAAAATTATTAGAGTCACTGCAGCGGGGAGAATTTGATGCTTTCCTCCCCTGAGGAAAATCCTATTGCTGGAAGCATTATTTGCATTGGGAGGAGATCTCCCATTGACACCAGGGAGAAATTATGAACTTTTCATGACAGCAATTGCCCGGCTCTGTGGGAAACAGGAAGCTGAACTGGGCAGGCCTTTGGTCTGACACAGCAGCCTCATTATGGAGCTCAACAGAGCGTAGGCTTGACTCAGCATAAACAGCTTTCCATGTGGCAGTAACAGAATAGAGTGAAAGGACTGCAAAATACACCTACTAGATCCCCGTCTGCGTAAAATAGTTCATCTTGGAAGCGTTGGCAGCTGCTGTACAGGAGCTCAGTGTCGTGAGGCAGCTGGTATTGGAGGCGCTGGGTCGAAGTGGCACACTCAAGGTGCTCCCCATTGCAGTCCTTGCCATGTATTCTGATGAAACAGGAAATTAGATTTAGGTTGGTTGAATGCACATTGGCAAGAATACTTGAACATTATTATGAACCCAGGATTAAATCTGCAAATTGTTTGCTCTGCTGGTACCTTTCTAGTACCATTTGAGGAGAGGTCAACAAAAGTGGTTCAAAAACTCTCTCAAGGCAAATCTAAAAAGATCACCAGTGTCGAAGCAATGGTTCTTCAACATCAACTTTATTGGACTGGTCATGTTGTTTGGATGTCTGATTATCATCTTCCAAAGCAACTACTCTATTCCCAACTTAAGGATGGAAAGTGTAATGCCAGTGGACAACAAAAGAGGTTTAAAGATACTCTCAAGGCAAATCTTAAAAACTGTAGCATAAACACTGACTGCTGGGAAATTCTGGCCTGCGAGTGCTCCAATTGGAGAACAGCCTTTACCAAAGGTGTCGTGGGCTTTGAATACGCTCGAACTCAGGACGCAAGGGAGAAACGCACTAAGAGGAAGACACGCTTGGGAAACCCGCACCATGTGGATCCAGAATTGGCCTCCACAGTCACTTACGGACTCACGTTTGAGACTGTGATTATGGAAGACAATCTTACTCGGCTACGAGTGATCGCCAAGGAAGGGTACCATTTGAATGTTTTTTCACTGCTAGCAGTGTGCCGAAGATTGATGGTGAGCTGCCCCATCGTATAGAAGGGTTTGCATAGCTTTCTGAAACTTTTAAAAGGTTGGCTTACATACACAGTTAACATTCTGAATCATTTGGCTGTCATACTTTTAATACAGTGAAGATAAGGTATCAGAATTTATTTTATTGCAGCCATCTGGGTTATTCGACACACACACTTTTCAGACTCAACATAATGATGAAACACTTGGCTTTGCATAATTTTTTTTTTTTATATAAAAGCCAAGATTAGCTTCCTAATTTCTTTACTGTTTCATCTTTTCGTCTTTCTGCACAGCTCTGTCCGTCGCTACTGCTTCCCTGTCAGATTTGCATATTTATGTCTACGTTTCCAGATATTTTAATTAACAGTGTTATCATCTCTTTTGCCTGTTTATCCTTTCTGAATGCTAAATTTATGCCTCCCAATTTGGGGTGTTTTCTTTTGCTAGATCCATGCTGACAGTAGCACTAATAGTTTTGTCTGGTCTTGTTAGCTTTCAACAGAACAAGTTCGTTAGCTGGGTCTCTGATGTGTGGAGGGCAGCAAAGTCTCATCAAAACCAAAAAACAAATCCACAAATAATTGAAAAAAGAGGAATCAAATCACGAACGGAAAGTGCTGTTAATATATTACATTAAAACCATAAACTCTTGTATGAAGTACTCATACTCAAAATGATATATTATGTTTAAAGTTGACATTCCCCTCCATCCATCAGCTTAAGCAAGGCAGGCTACATAGTTGGTTTCAGAGGGCTTCCCAGATGGTATCGAATGCCACTTCTGGCTTAATAAACTAGCAGCTGCTGAAATTCCTTCTCCTGCAGAGGCTTAGGAGCAGGTGATAACTGAAAGCCATCCAAACAGGGGCAGACCTTGGTAATATTTGATGCTCCCCACAGCCCAAAGCTGTTAAGTATAGTAATTTAATTCACCGAAATTGTAAATGCTTCCATGCTTTACTATGTATTTAAATTTGATTGGTTGGTAACTGAATTCTAGAGAGTTCTGAAGTAGTTCTCATGTGATTGGCTAGCGTTGGTCACATGGGAGGTATCTAGTGAAAGAGAAACTCCATTTTATGGGATGCAAGATGAATTTGTTATAGAATCCACTGTGAACACTGCTAAGTTGAATGGAGTGCTTCTTCTCTGCTTGAAGGAAAGAGAGCAAAGATGGAGGAGAAGGTAAAAGTGGAAATCTCCCATAGGAGCTGCAAGGCATGGCCTAACTGAGATGAAGATGGCTGAGTGCTGAGTTCTGAAAAGGGAGGAAAATACAGTTGTTTGGAAGTTAAAAGAAGAGACTGTAAGCCCATGCTTGGAGAAGCATGTGACTGTAAATATTATGTTTTAATTCGTCTATAAGTTACTGCAAGTAAAGTTGAAGTGTGGACATTGGTTTAATTTCCAAAGAAGGGTGCCAGTCATATATATGATTTGAGCTTCTTAGATGAGATTTCGCTACCCTCACTTCAATAAAAGCCACCTTCCCAAAACCGGGTAAGGGAGACACCAGGCTTTGGGAAAGAGGCCTTAGGCTCTGGCAGGTTCCTAGAGCCCACCTGCCTCCTTCCCAAAGCTGGGCAAGTGCTAACAAGGCTTTGGGAAGGAGGAAGGAGGGCTTTAGGACCTGTCAGATCCCTCACACCTTCTTCCCAAAGCCTAGCGCTTACTAGGCTTGGGAAGGAGGCAAGGCCCCCTTGCCCCTGTGCCCTGTGTGAGGGAATGGGCCCTTTGTCTGATCTCACAGGGCTTTTCCTTATGTAATTTTCTTACAGTACAGTGGTACCTCGGGTTAAGAACTTAATTCATTCTGGAGGTCCGTTCTTAACCTGAAACTGTTCTTAACCTGAAGTACCACTTTAGCTAATAGGGCCTCCTGCTGCCACCATGCCACCAGAGAACGATTTCTGTTCTCATCCTGAAGCAAAGTTCTTAATCCAATTCTTACTATTTCTGGGTTAGTGGAGTCTGTAACCTGAAGCATATGTAACCCAAGGTACCACTGTATATGGTTAAATTTTACACATTCCATTTCGGTTTGCATTTCTTAGTGCAGAAAGTATTGATCTGATGTGTAAAGATCTTTCCTATTCTTTTCTAGTCTGATTAATACAAGAAACCATTAGGTTTTTATTCACAGTGCCATATTTTTCCGCGTAAAAGATGCCTCCATGTATAAGACTATTTTTTTTCGGGGGGGGGGATAAATTTAAAGAAAATTAGGGGAGATGGCCCAAAGTTGTTGAGCTTCCTAGAGCGCACGCCTTCCACAGCGGCATGTGGGGGAGTTGTGTGCCACTTTCCCCTCACCCACTATTCATGTATAGGACGACCCCAGTTTTTTGACATGATTTTTGAGTCAAAAAACCTTGTCTAATACACGGAAAAATACGGTATTTATTGTAATTGGCTTTAGTATTTCTGCTGTGTGTGTTTAAGTTGCTTTGAGTCATTTCCATGAGATGATAATGATGTTGCTAATGATACTAATACTTACAGACCTTGTTTGATGCAGCTGAAGTCTATGATCCAGCTTTCATCCCAAAACATTTTTTGCTTTTGGTACTGGAACCACTAAAGAAAGCATGACAGGGCAAATTCATGCCTAGGCTCTTCATCATAAGATCTTCATCATAAGATCTTAGGGCGGTTCACAGAATAAAATACAGGATAAAAGCATGAAAACAGCAAAACAATATCCCCCCCCCACACACTTTCCCACAGAGGCATTTAAAAGGCTGTACAATATTAATCAGCCCAAGACCTGGTTGAAGAGGAATGTTTTCACCTGGCAACTAAAGATGTGTAATGAAGGCGCAGGTGAATCTCCCTGGGGAGAGAATTCAGAAAAAGGGGGGCCACCACAGAAAAGGCCCATTCTCATGTTGACACCCTCTGGACCTCACATGAAGGAGGCACACAAATAAGGGCCTCAGATCATGAAGGCAGAGTCTATGACAGTTTACATGGGGAGAGGCGGTCCTTAACAGCTTGAAGGATACCTGAAGGATACCTGAAGGAGCGTCTCCACCCATATCGTTTAGCCCAGACACTGAGTTCCAGCTCCGAGGGACTTCTGGTGGTTCCCTCCCTGTGGTAAGTGAAGCTACAGGGAACCAGGCAGTGGGCCTTCTCGGTAGTGGTACCCGCCCTGTGGAACGCCCTCACATCAGATGTCAAGGAAATAAACAACTATCTGACATCTGAAGGCAGCCCTGTTTAGGGAAGTTTTTAATGCTTGGTGTTTTATCGTGTTTTTAATATTCTGTTGGGAGCTGCCCAGAGTGGCTGAGGAAACCCAGCCAGATGGGCAGGGTGTAAATAAATAAGTTGTTGTTGTTGTTGTTGTTGTTGTTGTTGTTGTTGTACATACTACTTAATGTTTCAGAAATCTATAAGCAGAGATTTAGACTGGTTTCTCTTGAATTCCTGACACTGGTAAAATTCACATGACAGGTTATTGCACTATCGGTGCTTCACATAATCATCATCATCATCATTTTGAGTGGGGGGCAAAAGAAACATTTACTGCTTTTTCTCCCCCCCCCCATAGTGTTTATCTGAAAGACTGAGAGTCAGATTTCTTCAGTTATCTCCTACCAGCTAGAAAAAAATGCCTACAGACAGAATCTGAGGCAAACATTATCCATTCCCGAGTCCCCTTCTGCAACTTCACAAAGCAGAGAGACAGTTTGCGTTGCAAACACAACAGAGAAGGAAGTGTCCTCAGCTGTCAGACAATCTCCTAGGAGGTACACTCAAGAGGTAACAACTGCCTATTTTGGAATGCGTCTCGCCCTGTGAGGCAGAGCCAGCGATGGCTGCTTCTCATCCAGGTACACCCAAGAGGGCAGCAAAGAAGTAGAACTTGTGTTTATGCTGCGTTGCATTATAAAATGAAGATTAAGTAAGAGGGACCAGACGAGGAAAGGGGGAAAGCATGGAGGAGAGCAGTTGAGCGACGGTGAAGTTCTACTTAACGCGTACCATGACTGTCAGAATAAAGCCGGTGCAGACCAGACATATTGGTAAGGCAATTGCGATCCTGATGTCTGTTGCCAACGGGCATTCACCACAGTCAGCCGGGCACGTGGAGCAGCCCTCGTCATCCTCACAGATGTCATCCCCACAGACTGAGCACAAAGAGAAAGAGATTTCGGAATTAATAATACATTAGCACGGCACCAGGATATTCCTTTGTGGCTGAGCCTGATCAAAGGGAAGAGGGTCCCTCCTTGGCCCAGTATACCTGAAGGAGCGTCTCCACCCCCATCGTTCAGCCTGGACTCTGAGGTCCAGCTCCAAGGGCCTTCTGGGGGTTCCCTCACTGCGAGAAGTGAAGCTACAGGGAACTAGGCAGAGGGCCTTCTCTGTAGTGGCGCCTGCCTTGTGGATCGCCCTCCCATCAGATGTCAAGGAAATAAACAACTATCTGACTTTTAGAAGACATCTGAAGGCAGCCCTGTTTAGGGAAGTTTTTTAATGTTTGATGTTTTATAGTGGTTTTAATATTCTGTTGGGAGCTGCCTAGAGTGGCTGGGAAAACCCAGCCAGATGGGCGGGGTATAAATAATAAATTATTCTTTATTACCCTCCTTAAAAACAGGACTTCTATCAAAATATGTCTTTACTGACAGATGTCCGAGGCTCTTCAGTCAAGAGGGGAAGTTGACATCCCAACATCCAGCATGACTTGCGCTGCCTGAAACCAATGGTTCTGGCATTGGCGATCAAGCCCATGACACAATGAATCTTTTGTACAATAGTCATTCTTTGCACAAGCAAGGACAAGGAAGTTTCCCAGTGATGTGGGAAATGATACATTAAGTTCTAATGAATCTTCAGGTCCCTCCGGTCTTCCTAGCAGCAGAAGCGCAAGCATTCTCTGAACGCTTTCACTCACCACCTCCACCGTATTGTAGCATACCTACTGCCGGGAGGACCATGGTTTGGGCTTCCAAAGCAGCCTGCATTCTCCCAACCCTGATGTGTGCAATGAGAGAGGTCATGCCCACATGCACCAGGACTACCTGCAAGGCAAGCAAGATGGAGGAAGAGAAAGAGAAGAACAGCAACTCAATGAGATCAGTGAGAACCATTCTAGTCCAGATTGCCATTGGCCATCCAGATGCCTCTGCAGTCTCCCGAGGAGGGTTGTGGAGATGGTCACCTTCTCCCTGTTAGTCCCCAGCATTTGTTATTTGCAGGGATAGCGTTTCACTCATAGAATCAAAGAATCGTAGGGTTGGAAGGGACCATATGGGTTATCGAGTCCAACCCCTGGCAATACAGGGATCTCAGCTAAAGCATCCATTACAGATGGCTATCCAACCTCTGTTTCAAAACATTGACTCTCCTTTCTTGGAGGTTTTTAAGAGAGGTTGGGTGGCCACCACCTCTCAAGAGAGACTGTTCGCTGTCAAACAGCTCCTACTGTCAGACAGTCCTTCCTGATGTTTAGTCAGAATCCCCTTTCTGGAAACTTGAAGCCGTTGGTTTGAGTCCTACCCTCCAGAGCTTGCACCATTCTCCATGTGACAACCCCTTTAGATATTTGAAGGTGGCTATCATATCTCATCTCAGTCTCTCTTTTCCAGGCTAAACATACCAAACTTCTTCAACTTACGTTCCTCATAGGGCTTGGTTTCCAGAACCTTCATCGTCTCCTTCTGCACACAACCAGCTTATCAATATCCTTCCTAAATTGCAGTGCCCAGAACTGGACACAGTATTCCAGACACACTATGTAGATTCGATTGATCTATCATAGCTAATAGCCTACTCTCTTAGAATTTGTCGAATTTCCTTTTAAGCTAGAGGCTATCACCACATCTTGAGTCATGTATTCTGAATGCTGCGTGAAGAAATATTGAATAACTAAATGAACCTGGATCTAGCTAAGTGAAAGGGGGAGCCCTTTTCTTGAACATTTGCAGCAACATCACAGTGCCCTATTCCACTCTGCTTTTTAATAATTCCTGTGAAAGGACTTTAAAGAGTTCGCTAATTCAGAAAGCTACTGCCCACATTAAGTTAAGCTGCCCTAATAGCTGCATGATGTACACCGAGGATGGGGAATTTGTGACCCTACAGATGTTTTTGGACTCCATATCCCATCATACCAAACCACTGACCATGCTAACTAGAGATGATGGGATTTGGAGTCCAACAACTTCTGGAAGTCTACAGGTTCCCCATTGTACAAATATATAGCTACATCAAACCCAGAGTCAACTTAGGTGGGGGTTTTTTAACCCCATGTTGTGCCATAATCACAATACTAGGCTGATACTTGGCCATTTCTACTATATGTGTAATGAATATTCATTCAATGCAACAACTGCTTATAGGTAGTCTGGAGCTCTTGAGACATAAATGTGGTCAGTTCTTCTTGGTGCAATGATTAAAAAAGAGAGAGCATAATGTCCCAAGCAGCTGCTAAGCTAGCCAAATTCCCACTGTGGCCTACTGAGGCCAGATGGTTTTGACTACAACTCCCATCAGCTGCAACCAGCACAGGAGTTGTAGTCCAAGATATCTGGAGGGCACCAGGCTGGCAAAGGGGAATAATAGATAATTCAGGCTTTTGCCCAGCAGTCCGAAAGAGAGTGAAACAGAGTCCGTGAGGAGAATTAAACCTTATTTACCTTGGCAGTCCAGTTTCTTTGTGTCATTTTGCCCGCAGTAGACTTGGTGTGGGTGAATATTTGGCCATCGTCTGGGATCCATGGTCCACAAATGCCACCTTTCCCCTTTTGCCAAGCAGATTAAATTAAACAATACAGCTTCAGTGTCATGTAAATAGTCTTTTAGAGGTTCATGTAACAGCAAACTTTAGTTGGAAATGAATTTAAATGTCACATTCTGTGCTTAAGAAAGGGGAATATATAATCAGCCTTAGTGCAATTCTGGATAATGCCCCGATAACTTAAAGTGAATTATGCAGTTAGGCTTCATTTTTTCAGCCCTTTTGGGTACATTTAGTATTCTCGCATGTCAGATGAAATGTTTTAAGTATCTGCCATTTTTATTTGTAATTTCCTGTGATTTCCAATTTTGCATCTCACTTAACCTCCAGGACCATGAGTTTCAGTGCTCTTGAAAGCTTAAATTATTTTAGATTAGTATTGCCAGTTGATGTATATCTCAACTTTACAGAATGCAAAAAGCTGTTTACAAAATACGAAAACATCATACCAACACATAATAATACTTCATAAGAGGAATAGCCAAGGGGTATTCTCCAGGTGTTTTGGACTACAATTCCCATCATCCCCTGTCAGTATGGCCAATGGTCAGAGATGATGGGAGCTGTTGTCCTCAATATCTCTAGAGGGTACCATATTGGCTATCCCTGATTTAAAACATAGTACAATAATATCAAACATCAACTGGCCCCATAGCCCTCTAGAATAAAAACACTTCAGCTAGCCTCTGGAAGGATAAAGGAGAACAGACATAGCAAGCTTCCCTTAGGAAAAGTTCTAGACAGTGGGTACCACTACACAGAAAGTCCTTCTCCTCAAAACCGCCAGCCTAAGTTTGGATAAGCCATGGCAATGTCTCCTAGCATGAGCAAATCATATGGAAAAGGTAGCAAATAGGGATCTACTGTACAGTTGTTATTACATAAGCTATCCTACACCCAGGTCATTTTGGGCTTTAAAGGTTAATGAATTGAAGTTAGACCACATGGTTGCAAAATCAAGTTATCTTAGAATTCCCCATTCAAATTGCCCATGAATATTTCAAAGTTTCAAATTCAAAATCCAACACCCCCCCCCCCCGAATGGCTCAATGGCAAAGTTAAAATGTCACGGTCAGAACTAAAATTTTGGTAAGCTTTTGTTCCTCCCTGACATTTTAAACACGACATTGACATTTTAGCACAATGGTGAGAGGCCCTTTTATCTCCCAGAAAGCTCTCTATGGGTCATCCGTTGACAGCCTTAGATTGTTTTGCTTGCAGAACTGCAATTCCACCAGCCCCAATGGCTAGGGATCATGGGAGTTGTAGTTCAGAAACATCTGGATGCCCAAAGTTTCCCCACCCCTACTCTGTTTGAAGGGCTGCCTGATCCAAGTCTACGGGGTGGACCTTGGTAATATGCTGCCCTGTGCAAGGCCATTTGATGCCCTCCCCCCAGCTCTCATGGCTCTATCTTAAGCCAAGCTTTGGGAAGGAGGTGAAAGGCTCTGGCATAATCCTAGAGCCCTCCTACCAAAGCCCAGTAAACACTTGGCCAGCTTTGGGAAGGAGGCAGAAAAACTCTATAACCCTGTCAGAGCCCTCAAGCCTCCTTCCTGAAGCTAGGCAAGTGTTTACAGAGCTCTGAGAAGGCGTCCTCCTTGGCTGTACACCTGGTGCAACCACACTGCTTGCACTGCCTTAAATCTGCCCCTGAAGTCTAGTTTAAACATAAAGAACCTGAAGAAGAGAGAGCAGGGACTTGGACAGCAGACTAAGCAGTTACAGAGGCCACCTCGTCTCATTCTTCATCAATACGATAAGCTGCTTTGTATTTTTAAATAACATGCAGTGATTATTTCTGAATTTGCCTCTGCACCTACAAATTAATTTAGCAGATGAAAAATCCATGCAAATCTGCGTTACCCTTTGTTCTCTTTTTTGGTGATGTGTAAATGGCCATCTTTGCGGTGGTAGCTCCTCTATATTTCCTTCAGTAAAAGGCGTATAAGAAGGGAATTTTGCCCATATACTTCCCTTACAGAGGATTCTCTGCAGCTTATTTTCTTTGAAGTTTAACATGTTCTGACAGCTCTTCCACAGATTTTTGTGTGGGGCAGGGACAAAGTCTATTTTGAGTAAGTATTTTCAAAGATTCTCATTTCCCAGCCAGCTGTAACCAACAAGGATTATGTTCACTATATTGTGCTAAAATATACAATACAAAGGACTTAAGGTTTTAGCGGGGGTGGGGGGTAGGGGAAGGATGGCTTATTTCTGGTGGCTAATGTCAGATAGCCCCATGTACTTCTCTCCATTTGTGTTATACCAAAAATGCAGATGGCTCCTGCAAGCAAAGGTAAAAGTATGAAAGAAAAGAATCGTGCAATTTATACACCAGGGTGTATAAATAGCTCTTACTTAGCCGAACAGAGTTATCTCAATATAAGAGTGTTCCATATCACAAAGCCACATTCCTCTTAGCCTTCATATTCAGTTCCATCTAAGCAGGGAAGCATAAAATATCTGCACCAAAATGAAACTTTAATAACCGATGGCTAGAACGGTCTCCTTTTGGTTAACTCACAAAAAACCTTCCCATCCTCAGAACGAAAAGCAGGGAGAGCCAGAAAAGCCTGTTCACAAAGAATAACTTTCCCCCTTTTCTTTCTAAAGAAGACGGGGAAAAGGGCTTTGCATTTATATAGCACATTTCAAGTGCTCAAAGCAGCCAGGGATCAGAAGAGTGCAGTGGATCCTCATATTACCATTTCCCTATTGCAGGGAGTAGTCTAGCGTGGAGAGCGTAGTGGGGCATCCCTCAGATCAGCTAACCATAAGATCACAAGAACATGAGACGAGTCTGCTATATCTAGTCCAGCACCCTGTTCTCACAGTGGCCAACAAGATGCTCTTGCGAAGCCCACTGCCAGGGATTGGACTCAAGAAGGTGAGATTGGAGGAGGAATGGTGGGGGTCACCCTCCCCTTCTCCTGATGCTGCAAGAGAAGAGGAATGCAGCAGGAGTTTGAGGAAGGTCACAGCTCAGAGATAGATGAACAGAAAAGTTGGGCAGTGTTAGAAGGAGGAGGGGAGGGGGAAGACAGAAGCAGGGCAGCCAGCTGACACATTGTCACTGGAGAGTATTTCTGACCCCCCTTCTCCCAGAACTCGGCATTCGTTAAGAGTGCAGGAACAAAGGACTCAGAGACGTTTGATCACAAGTGGCCGCCGTAAGAGCAGATGCTGTTGCTAGGAAGGAGGGAGGAGGGACTCAGTTGGAGCGACGCCATTGTTAGGGCTTGTCGCGTTCTCTTGTCTCTCGCTGTTATGATTGAATAAAACTCATGAAAAGAACTCTACCTTGGTTCTCTGCTCTTGCTGCAACTGGGGGAGGAATAGCTTTCCCAAAGCCTTGACACCCGCAAGCATGACATGAGTGCAACAGCACTCTCTGCACCTGTGATTCCCAGAAACTGGTATTCAGGGGCACACTGCCCTGACAGCGGAGGCAGAACATAGCATTGTGGTTAGTAACTGTTAGAATTCCTGCTCTATGATTGCAGTCATAGGATTGTTGTTTTTCACATGACGGTATATATTTTGACTTCACAGAGTGGAAAGTGACGGAGACAGGATGTTTGTGTTACTGTGTTCCGTGAAATGGGATTATTGTCCTTTGTTCTTTCTCTCTTTGCTGTCTGATGCTAGAGAGCCGTGTTGCAGTGCTCCGTGTGTGTTTATATGTAAATAAAGTAGATTAGCCAAAATGCTGAGTTGCTGGGGTTCTGTCACACAAGCTGCGAAGATTCTGCGGATCCCTAAGTGTGCCAGTGTCTGTTGGCATTGGTCGCTGTGATGTTCGGGATGAAGAAAGCTTTTGAAGCTCCCGAACGATCGACCAGGAGGGAGGGAACATGCCAGTCGGGCATGTGTCTCTGCCAGGGCCCTACTCGAGTGTAGGCTGAACTCCTGACAGTAACCACTGGTGGCATTGCCTGCCATGAATAGGTCCAATCATAGGTGCCAACTCCTAGAGGCTGATGTCCTTTCAGCGCCCCCCGATTAAAATATTTGAGGAGGCCAATGCCCCCAAAGTTGATGGGCATTGTCAGTCAAATGGTGTGTCTTGTGATTGATTATATGGGCAGGGCTTACCTTGCCCCCCCCATTTTTTATTATTCAAGTTGGCACCCCTGTGTCCAATCCTCTTTTAAAGCCATCCCAGTTGGTGGTCATCACTGCTTCCATAGCTGAGCTGAGATTTGAATTGAGGGGCTTCCTGGCTCACAGCTCCCACTTTTATAACACAGTGTCAGGCATGTTCTCCTTGTTAGAGATGCATGTTCCTGGTGCCTCTCGGCCACAGCCCACAGAGGGGAAAGGAAAGAACCACTGAGCAAATTTCTAGCCCTGCTCTGTGCCTCCATTAAATGGTGTTTCCCAGGACCTAATGGCTATCAGTTTCCCCAGGCTAGGGAATGTGGCCATGTCAAAAGCCTTGACGTTTGTACTAACCATGAAGGCCAACGGGCAAGAGTGAATGTTCGCATGATGGACACAGCAGTTCTCTCCATTTGCATCTTTCCAGTTGGGAGGGCACTCCTGTTCCTCACAGAACATTTTGGCAGTAGTTGCATCACTTAAAAAAAATAATAAAAAAATTCCAGAGACAAAGCTTACTTTGAAATCAATTTTGCTACGATACAATACAATAATCTTTACTGTCATTGTCCCATACAGAACAACGAAATTAAAAAATCTAAATAAGACATTCAAAAACCAACAAGCCTGGTATCTCAGCTATCCCAACCTGGTTAGCCCCCTAAAAACTCTGATACCCCATTTTTAAATACAATATACTCCCATACAGACTCCTTACAATGCGTTTAAAAGCAAAATCGCATTTGAGTAGAAACTGTTTCTCAGGCGGCTAGTCCTAGTCTTTATAACCCTGTACCTCCTTCCAGAAGGCAGAAGCTGAAAGAGATCATTTCCAGGGTGCGCACTATCCTGCGCTATCTCTGCAGCTTTCTTATGACACCTGGAAGCGTAGATTTGATCCAAGCTGGGGAGAGTGCACCCAATTATTCTCTCCCAAACCACAGCTCCCAAACCACACACACAGACCATAAGTTAATACACTCTCAACAGTACAATGGTAAAATGCTATCAACAGGTCCTTTGAGAGATTGTTTTTTCCGGAGGATTCGACATGTAGACATCTTGGTAGGGCCGGCCCACTCATGAGGCAAGGGGAGGAGGTCACCTCAGGTGGCGGCCTCCCATGCCACAACTCGCCACTGTGGCTGCCTCTTCCACACCCGCCCACACCCTTTGCCATCGCCTGAAATTTCCTCCTTTGTGCCCACTGCAAAGGAGGCAGTGGGTGGTGGAAGAGGAAGTGGCCAGGCAACGAGGTGTGGCAGGGGAGGCTGCAGAGGCAGAGGTAGGCAGAGGCAGCCAGGCACAGTGGTAGACATTTTTGCTTTTGCCAGAAGCAGCACATCGTCCTGGGGTGGCCCTGCATCTTGGTGTTAGTATAGTAAGAAAGACCATAATTTCCAAATCCCCCTAAAGACAAGCAAATCAAGAGCAGTCAAATCTGGTCTCTGTCACTTTCACACAGCTTCACCCATAAAGTTTCTGCATCAATCCTGTGATTTCTTGGGGGAATCTGTGCAAAAAAATAAATAAATCTGCATATTATTTAAAGACCATTTAAAATATATCCTCTCTCCAAATCCACATTCCTATAGGATTTAATTATTTCGTGCTGAGAACCGTAGTGGAATATTCAGGAGGTGCGAAAGCCAGTGGCTACCTGAGACCTCGGCCCCAGGTCTCTTGGCTCAGCCCTGACTTACTAGCCAAAAGAGGGCAGAAGCATGCTAGGAAGCAATATCAACCAGATGTTCTTTCAGGGATAAGAAGGATGCCTACCTATCACAGTGAAAGGAGATTAAGACAATATATCTTTGATCATAACAGGGAAGAATCTCTCCAATTTTAATCAAGTTAAAAACAACACTGTGATTTAAGTATTAAATTTGGGGGGAAATGTCATTCCAATCTAATTCACACCAGATTGTGATATTGCCCAATCCTTTATTTGGAGGTGGAAAAAAATAATTCAATAACTTCTGTTTTTATATATCTTGGGGAGGGGGAACTCCAGAATTAATCTGACGGGAGCTTCTCTTTCCAACACCTGCTATGGCAGAATATTGCAGAAAAGCTTACTAGTACTTAAGTTCAGCTAGAGGTGAAGTTCAAGAAGATAAATTTTCTAAGGTGTGCTTTTGTCCCCTCATGTATGTGAACTATAATGAAAACATACTGAGTCCCCCAGTGACCCAGATGTCTCACGGGGGGGGGGGGGTTGCATTTACAAAAAGGGCAGATGTTAATAGTTTTCTGGTATAGTCTGCAACAACCAGAGTTTCCTGTACTTGTATGAAAGAATTTCAGGTGTGTCAAGGCTGTTTTGTTGTACAGTGGTACCTTGGGTTAAGTACTTAATTCGTTCTGGAGGTCCGTTCTTAACCTGAAACTGTTCTTAACCTGAAGCACCACCTTAGCTAATGGGGCCTCCTGCTGCCGCCGCGCTGCCAGAGCACAATTTCTGTTCTCATCCTGAAGCAAAGTTCTTACCCGAGGTAATATTTCTGGGTTAGCGGAGTCTGTAACCTGAAGCGTATGTAACCCGAGGTACCACTGTATAGGTTTATCGATGCTTATCAAACCTTGAAGAGGAGTACAGCTAGGACCACCTTGCATTCAATGACTCACCTGTGGGAAAGGATCCCATTTTCCACAGAATAGTGGTAAAAGTTGTCGGAAGCAATGACTGTGTAGATTACATCAAAGGATTCCCCACTTATGACCTTTTCTGGGGGTCTCTGAACCCAAGCCATCTCCAGGCCTGAAGAGATAAAAGCCAGCTCAACACTTCACAGCCAAAACCAATCAAACAACAGCACTATGCAAATGATATTGGCCTAAACAGGTTATTTTGTGCATGTAACTAATAAAGCAGGATTTGAAGGTCTGTCACATAGATGATGGAGCAATTATTATTTTTTTAACCTGTTGTTCCAGAGCTTGGATATGGCACCAACAGTCTTCCAGAATTTTCTGGCTAAAACTCCCATCATCCCTGATCAGTGGCTGTATTGGTTGGGGCTTCTGGGAGTTGGCATGGAGCGGGTCTGATTTTGTCCAATGGCTTCAAGACAAAAGGCAAGCTCCTGTACATTTAGTTACACATAATGAATAGATCGTAACCATGCTGTAAATCAGGGGTCACCAACCTACGGCCCAGGGGCCGGATAAGGCCTGAGGGACTTGTTTATTCAGCCCGCAGTGACCCCCACTGCCTCCCACCACCGCCCGCTCTTACTGGTGCAGCGCGGCGCGGGGACCCACTTCCGGGTCAGAGGCGCACCGGAAATAGCTTGTGCGCATGCGCACAGGCCTCCTCCGACCCGGATGTGCACTGGAAATAGCATGTGCATGCGTGTACGGGCGTGCGCTCCCCCCGCCCTCCGGCCTGCCATGCGATCATTGCTTGAGACAGCGGCCCGAGGCAAGGGAAACTTGGAGACCCCTGCTGTAGATCTTTTCTTTGTGTTTGGATCACCCTGGCTGAATTTTCCTCGGAATACTTGAACTCCAGGCAAACATTCCCCCCCCCCCCGACGTTCTTGTGAGCGTGCTGGTTACTTTCCTCCATTTAAATTGCCTGGAAATAGATGTTACTGCTGACTCATGGATTTGCAGTCAGGTACAAGTTTGGAGATGCATTAGGAATCCTCTTGATTACTTCCATTTCTTTCCAGTCTACTGCATTACCAAGAGGCTGTATCCTGCGAAAACAAGAGGTGAACTCACCACCACAATCCAGCATGTTATACTCATCTGGTTTCTCCAGGGGCCAACAGTCATAATCGGTGTTATCCAAATCATGCCACCCATCCACAAAAACAACCTGCCACAGAAAAAGACAGAAAGCCATACATAAAGACATGGGACTTCTTTCAATTTCCTATTTGCTGTTTTGGGAAATGAATCCACTAAAGACACAGATAATCAGCTGTCTTTAGAGAATCAGCGTCAGGATGCTGTCAGTGGCTCCTGGCTGGTTGCCCAGGAAAGTATAAAGACAAGGAAAAGTTTCTTACCGTCTTTTTTTATTTCAATATTTACAAAGAGAGGCTATAGAACCCAGCCTCTTGGATAAAGGCATTGTCCCGAGTCAATCTCCACCCCCTGTCTTTCTCACTTCTTCTTTCATCATTCTCATCATCTCTTCTACGGGTGCTGCTACCTGCCCTCTGTCTTTGAGCTCTTTGCTCTCCTACTTTTAAGGCTCGCTGGGTTCTGGGAGATGGTGGGTCTGGAATGCTTTCTAATGACAATGTGTCAGCCAGGTGTTGTTCTGGCTTTCTGATGATTTCCCAACTTTCCCCCTCATCTGCCTCTGAGCTGTGACCTTCTTCAAACCCCTGTTGTAAATCTATACTGTCTTCCTCTTCCTCCTTCCTGGAAGGGTCAGGATGGGGAGGTGGTCTCCACCATTCAGCTCAACTTATCTCCACAAGCTACGTGGTCTTCAGGTACAAGCCAGGCTAATTCCCTGGTAGCAACAAGGTAGACAGGGAGAGAACCATGGGGTGAATAGTGGGCAAATACTTCACACAGGAGAAAGGCAGACAAAACACACAATGTGATTTTTACAACAACAAAGTTTCTGCTGCTGTTGATGATGCCCTTATTTTCGGTTCACACCCAAGTGCCAAACTGCGAATGTGAGAAGATCCTGTGGAGATATGGTCTCAGTGCAGTAGCAACCCATTCTCCTTTGACTCCATCTATTTTTGTTGACGTTGTCTGTGGGGGATACTGAATGAATCTCTCCACAGTTTTCCTCCTCTACTTTTTTTGGGCAGCCCTGAGCTGAATGTGAGAGATGAAGAACCACCAGCACAAGAGGTGGGGCAATGTCAGGGATCGTGCTGAGGAGGGCTGCACTGAGGAGGAATGGTGGGAGACTTCCCTTTTCCCTGCTTCTAAGCAGGATCCTGAATCTTCCCAGGAGCAGTGGGACAGTATAGATTTGGAACAGTGGTTTGCAGAGGGACATAGTTCAGAAGACAGAAATTGGGAAATACTGGTTGGGGAACAGCTAGAAGAAGATGCACTGGGAGAGAGAGAGTTAACAAATTCACTGTCTCTAGGATTGGAACTGCCCAAAAAGGATGTTAGACTGTTTTTGTATGCCACTACAGCGGCAAGACTTTTATTAACCAAAAACTGGAAATTGCAAGAAATACCAACAATAGAAGAATGGCAGATGAAGATGTTGGACTTTTTGGAGCTGGCCGACCTGACTGGAAGAATCCGTGACCAGAAAGAGGAGAAGATACAAGAGGACTGGAAGAAATTTAAAGAATATTTAGCTAAATATTGTGATATAAGATAAATATAAAATTCTTGGAACTAATAAATAGGCTTACGGGTAGAATAAGAAGATGTTAGAGTAAATATTAAGGATTAAAATATTAATAAAGGGGAAGAGGCTAGTAAATGAAAGGAGTCAATATTATTAGAAATATGAATTTGGAGAACTGTTATACAAGTGACATAATGAAATTCAGTTAGAGGGGATTTGAGGAAGTCAGTTATCAATGTAATGAGAATTAGGTATTTGAAGAAAGAATTTTTTGTGTGTTTAGTTTATTGTAGTGTGATGTGTTTTTCCTTATTGTGTGTTTTGTTATGTTTGTTTTTGTGATAAATGTGGAAAATCAATTTAAAAAAATGGAAAAAAACCAAAAACAAATTCACTGTCTCTGGAAAGCATTCACCCACTCAGCCCAAGGTCAAGAAGAGCTGATAAGGTGGCAGCACAGAAAGCACAGTGGTTACAGGACAAGGTTACAAGATGCGGTAGTGACATGAGTGATTAGGTAGGAAGTGGGTGGAACCCTTAATTGGGAGCACCGCCATTCCTAGGAAAGAGATTCTTTGTTCTCTCGCTGTGATCATTAAAATCTCTAACTGGTAAGTGACTCCTTCGCTTTGTTCTGTTTATCTACTGCCAGCTGTGTGTGTGTGTGTGGAGCTGAGTCCATGAAGCCTGACAGGCAAGACCAGATCAGCACCCAGAGTGTCTTAAGCACCCATGCATACTCTGTGCCCTGGACCTCCCCAGCTAAGGAAGACACGCATCTGAGAGTTAAGTCTTTATGGACCAAAGAAGTGTGTACAGCAACTCCCATGGTGTTCTGGATGCACACGCATCTAGCCACTTGGCAGCTGTTCCCCTCGGATTTGCACCCTGCAAAGTAGTTGCAGCAACAGTGAGACCTCATTGCAAGCTTCTATAACCTCCCCTGGTGAGTTGCATGCTTGCAACCTCTCCTGCACAGAGATCATCACTGCACTTCCCGCTTCAAGCCCCTACTAATTCTAGGAGACAGCAGAGCAGGGGAAGGTGGAGAGTCTACTGACTCGTCTGTCGCCCACACAGCTTCTTCTTCATCTGCCACATCCTGTGTGCCTCTCTTCCGTCCTGGACTCCCCTGACTCTTCCTCCTCTCACTGCCCTGGCTCCTGCTTTGTGGGTAGTGTAACTCATGCAACACGTTTTTTATTAATATACACAGAACAATAATTATACATACTTTATCAACCTTCTGAGAAAAATACAAAACATTAAACAAAGCCACAAAGACTTGCAAACTACCCAGCCTAAAATGAACTTATAATGTCTGGTTTCAATAGATTTTTCAAATGCTTCACTCAGTCTTTTAGATAAGTTCATGAAGGTACCAACCAAAGGTAAGTTCGGTGATATTCACAATACCAAGAGATGATAGAAGAGTTGTAGATCGATGTTAATAGACAGGGTGCCGGCGTTTTGCACCTGTTTTGCCCTGGCAGTCCAAGTAATCAAAAGGTTGCTGTTCGCCCCCGATGAGGCCCTTTAACTGGGGCTTGCAGGTAGCACACTCCCAAGATAGTTTTCCGGGCTTCTTCAATGGTCTAATCTCAAAGTCTTGATACGTATATTGATATTCAGTCTTATAGAGGTCAGTGGTACAGTGGTACAGTGGTACCTCGGGTTAAGTACTTAATTCGTTCCGGAGGTCCGTTCTTAACCTGAAGCACCACTTTAGCTAATGGGGCCTCCTGCTGCTGCCACGCCTTCGGAGCACAATTTCTGTTCTCATCCTGAAGTAAAGTTCTTAACCCGAGGTACTATTTCTGGGTTAGTGGAGTATGTAACCTGAAGCGTATGTAACCCGAGGTACCACTGTACTCTTTCTTGGTTTAATCTTAAGAGACTGATTTGCTTTGTGGGTGGCACGAAACCCCATAAATCACTGGTCTCTTGGGTTGCTCCCCTGGTCCCCTGCCTCCATCCCACCCTCTTCGGAGTCTTGCTAGTCCCTGACACCCTATGGACCTCTGTGCAAAGATATCAACATGGCCCTTGAATGCATAACACTGGTATTAACTGCCTTGAGTTCGTCATGTCGATGAATGAACCAATTGCAACAAATATTAACAGAATTTCAGCCAAAGGGATTCCCTGATCATTTTTTCATGAAAAGAGCTCTTTGCTCATCCCACCATTGTTAAACTTGTATTTTTCTCATCTGTCACACAATACAGCTGCCTTTTCTGTAAATAGGCTATGGGTTTTTCTGCCTTTGCCCTTAATTAAACGCCACCTCCATTTCACACAGCGTAAGGTTGTTCTACAAATATGTCTGAATATTAAGAATGGTAGACTCCCAGGATCTGTTCCTCTCTTCAGACATGAGCATTTATATGCTGCAGAAGAGCATCAAAAGTAGAAGGGGACATTATTAGAGGATTCTCTAATGTGAGGGGAGGAAATGAAGTTGTGAAAATGCAGAAGAAGATATGCAAAGAATAAGAAACCTTGAAGATATGTACAAACTCACTTCACATCAACAAGTTGTCTTCAACTGTAGACTTCCCATGGACAAATTTAATGATATTTGGAATTCATTTTTAGAAACACCATATTAGGTTAAGTACGGCTGCCATATTTCAGAAAGGAAAATCCAGACAAAAGCTGTGTGTGTGTGTGTGTGTGTGTGTGTGCAAAATCTCCCCCCCAAAAAAGTTTTTGAGCTTTTTTGTTTTTAAGGTAATTCGCAACAACAATGCCATACTTGCCATATGCCTGGGTTTCCACAGACATTTTAACCGATTCTCAGGATGCTATTTTCAGCACACAAATCCAGGATATGGCAGCCCTAGGATAAGGTCTGGTTAACTACAATACCCCCCTTTTTAATTCTGCTTTGCTTTCTACATGGGTACTATTGCTTGTTGCTTCTTCTTTTGTGTGTGTCCTATTTTACTCTGTGCACTTGTAATTTTGTACTTTATATTACACACACACACACACACACACACACGAATAAAAGAGATTCTTACATTGCAATATCTTCACTTCAATGGAAGGACGCAAATTATATATGGGTAACAGTTTTCTGTTATCAATTGAGACTGTCACTGCCACTATCACCCCCCCCATACAAACAGACCTAGAGATACTTTGGGTTTGTTCACGATTTATTAGCTTATTGCTGTTTCATTTTTTAAATTGACTATTATTTTTTATTCTATCTATTAAGCAACCTTTTTAATGTAAGAAAGCCCTTCTTTACTATCACCTGTACTGCAAGCCAACAAAAATTACGTCCCTCCCTTACCCCTCCAGGCCCATTGACTTCAGATGGAGAGAATTTGTTGAATGCTTAACTCTTATTGCAGCCAGTGAGACTTATCAGGGTTTCAGCTGGCTCGTACCCATAAATCATTTTTACTGCTGTCATTCTCATAGTGGCTTCTGTTTCACCTTTCCATCTGCAAAGCAGCTTGTACAACCTGGATAAAGTTTGTCACTGGTGCATTATCCGTATTACGGATGCACGTTGTGTGGCTCGGCCGCAATAAACCTTCTGCTTTTGCAATTATCCTCAGCGACCCATAACAAGATCTAAAATAATGTTTACCTACCAGTAAACTGAGGAGGATATGGAGCTCAGGGCCGAAGGATGTGACTGCACTCATAGTCTCTCTAAACAGGTATTGAAGCAAGCAGATGTCTGGCGCTGAATGAATTGTGTTTCCTCGTACAGGTGCTCTACAGTTGCCAGGGCTCCATCTCCTCCTCCCAGCCCCCCATCACCACGCAGTAGATCTCCTTGCATGCAGTGACAACATTATGGAAAGTGTCCCAGGTACATGACTCATGCAAGGAAACACAGAGGCTTGCCTAGGGTCCCCCCCCCCTGTGATCACACACACAAACACACAGTTTCCTGCTAATTGCCGAGGGAAGAGTAATGATAAGGTGAGCCACACACACACACTGCCCATAACTCTTAGTCCACAGGCTTCCCCTTTTCAATTTCTTTGAAATAGTGTTTCTTGCTGCAACAAGGTGAGGAAATTAGGTGAGGAAATTAGGGGTCATACACTGTTGTTGTTGTTGTTCATTTTTTGGGTTGCTTGATGCCAAAAAGAAATCTCAGAGCGACTTAACAATGCAATAAATTGCCAACAAGTAAAAGCAATACGTTTAAAGCAGGCAGAGAGAGAGAGAGAGAGAGAGAGAGAGAGAGAGAGAGAGAGATGCAAAATACAAAAATGAAACTCCGAAGTAGAGTCAACAACATTTCTATTCCCACGCATATATTAAGAGACTAGCAATTTTCAGGCTGTAGGACAGATATTAATTAGCAAATAGAGTTATGCCAGTTTAAGCCCCTGGGACTAATTTAGGGCTTGGTTAAAATGCCAGATATGACTGAAATTAGAGATGGCTGGATCAGTCTATTTCTGTCTGTGTCAGTTTTGCATTTGTTCATTCGTAAGTCAGTTCTGCCCTGTTTCTGCATTAATCTGCAATTATAGATATATTTTTTTTAAAAGCCACATGGAAATATGTAATTAAATGCATAAAAAGCACAAACATTTTCTTTCGGAACATGTATTTCTAAATGATTTTATCCTAAAATATACAATGGGTATAGGGCAGTATATAAATTCACTAAATAAATGAAGTATTTGGGCGTGTTTTCAGAGCTGTGAACTGCATCACAACATTTGGAGAGGTGAGAAATCTGATGGATAACGGCACATTCGTTCTGAAGATGCAGATCAGGTGAGTTTGCAGAGCAACTGGCAAAGAATGATTTCCTTGAGCATCTCTAGTTAAAATGCCATTGTGTTTCTGCTCCAGCTTATGCAGCGTTCATTCACAAGATATCCACCATCCTTGTGCTAAAAAGAAGAAGGTAAAGGACTGCTGGCAGTTAAGTCCAGTTGAAGGTGACTGTGGTGTTGTGGCACTCATCTCGCTTTACAGGCCGAATGAGCCGGCGTTTGTCCGCATACAGTTTTTCCGGGTCATGTGGCCAGCATGACTAAGCCGCTTCTGGTGAAACCAGAGCAGCGCACGGAAATGCCGTTTACCTTCCTGCCAGAGCGGTACCTATTTATCTACTTGCACTGGCATGCTTTTGAACTGCTAGGTTGGCAGGAGCTGGGACAGAGCAAAGGGAGCTCACCCCATCACGCAGATTCGAACTGCCAACCTTCTGATAGGCAAGCCCAAGAGGCTCAGTGGTTTAGACCACAGCACCACCCGCGCCCCTTGTGCTAGCTGCTTCAAATTACTTAAGTGTTGGCCATGAGGATGATAGCTCCTTTGTGCACCCCAGTAAGTCTCATTTCAATGCTACAGTAAAATTCCACCTAGTTCTACTTCCCTAGAACTTTGGCTACAGCTGTTGCTCAAACACAGGTCTGAGGACACTTAAGTTTTCTAGGCCAAAGCAAGGACAGAATGTAGCCTTGGAGAGATGCTAGGCACATTGCATTCATCATCACCCTTTGATGTGCATCAGCACAAAGTGGCACCTCCTGATCATCTCAAACTCATTTATCAAAATGGGAGACAGGAAACATGCTTGGAGAATCAGAATCCAGGCAGATTAAGTTGATGGATTATGCCGAAATGGCAAAAAAATGACCAGAAGAATCAGAAATCAGGAAGGCCAATTTTTTAATAAGGAATGGGGAAGATTTATAATTTATCTTAAGAACCACTGTAAACAGCCAAAATCATTAGTAGGATTGGAATAACACTTGTAGTTTAATGTTGAATTTTGGATATAATGGAGATGTAAAAGATTTGGATTATTATAAAAGATGCAGGAGGAAATGGTTAACAATGGGACACACAAAGGGAAGGAGGGAAGTTCGGGAGATCCTTTGGAATCTTGTTTTTATGTTGGTTGTTGGATAATTGACTGTAAAACTCTAAACTGAAAACTAAATAAATGATAAAAAAAACCTAATGTGGTGTTTTTGCAAGCAGGTATCTAGATCCCTGGTGATATCTAATAGCTGTGAGTTTAGACCAGAAATGCCCAGCTTCTGTATCTACAGGAATCACTTTATTATTCAGACATTCACATAGGCTGGAACATTGTATCCCTCTCACAAATTGAGAGGCTTTATAACAACAGTGACCTTGTAGATATTGAGCATATACACTCAGGTGTATGTGATTACTGACTGGAAGGAGCTACAGAATCAGTGGGACACGGGTGGCACTATGGCCTAAAACAGTGGTGTCCAAACTTTTTTCAAAGAGGGCTAGATTTGATGAAGTGAAGGGCCATGAGGGCTGACCAAAGTTGTTGACCTTTGACTGAAGTTGTTGATTGAAGTTGTTGAGCTTTTATTAGGGTTGACATTCTTGAGGGTTTTTTTAGGATTTTACCCCAGGAAATAAACTGCCGCAAGGGCCAAATTAGGCCCCCCAAAAAGACTTTGGACATGCCCGGTCTAAACCAATGAGGCTCTTGGACTTGCTGATCAGAAGGTTGGTGGTTTGAATCCCCATGACAGGATGAGCTCTCATTGCTTTGTCCCAGCTCCTGCCAACCTAGCAGTTCCAAAGCATACCAGTGCAAGTAGATAAATAGGTACTGCTGCGGCGGGAAGATCAATGGCGTTTCTGTGCACTCTGGCACTCCTCACGGTCCTCCATGCGCCAGTAGCAGTTTAGTCATGCTGGCCACATGACCTGGAAAACTGTCTGTGGACAAACCGCAGCCCCCTTGGCCTGAAGCGAGTTGAACTCTGCATCCCATAGTCATCTTTGACTGGACTTAACCATCATGGGGTCCTTTACCATATTTATTTTACAGAATCAGTCCAATACCTGAAACGTTTCTTCAAGGGGAAGATTGGCAGCAGTGTGGTTCATTATGGCCAGAACAAGCATTGTGCTTGAGAATTCCCCACTGCCTTCCCTCCTGCCACAGGCCAATTCCAGTGCTGAGACAGGCTTGTTTATGCCACAGTTTTCTGTTACATCTGAACCAGGAAACTATGGTTCAATATTGGACTATTAAACCAGGTTCTGATACCAGGACTTGATTTTATAGCAACTTTTCTCTCTTTCTCTTCCCCTTCTCCTCTCGCTAGATTATTTATTTAATATACTATTAAAACTGTTATTTTAAAAAATAAAAGAAATCCAGGACCACAGTTTGCAACAATAAATTATGCATGCAATAAAACCAAATCCACAGAACACATGAGGAAATACCAATATGGGGGACGGGGGACAGACAAATTGGGAAAGTGGTGTAAGGAGAAATCAAACATCCCTCTGTCCCAAAGCTGCAACTCTAGTCCAACTGGAGCTTCCCCACAGCTGCTTGTGGTTTTGGAAAAAGATCCCCTCCCTTCTCTTTTGGTCCTGAAGCTCAAAACATAAATGGCTAAGCAGACCAGGATGCTTGTTATCTCACCCTGCAAGCACATCACCTACTCATTCTTCTTTCTACCCCAACCCTTTATCGTTTTCATCCAGCTTTTTAAAAAAATCCAACCTCTGTTCACTAGTTTGTAGCTACTCGAGGGTACAAAAAGCTGCTGGGTCAAGAGGATGCTTAGCAAAACCTATTTGTCAAGAATTTTCAGCCCTCACATCACATACTGTGTTGCCATAAAATATTTATTTTAGCAATTTCGCTTTGCACATCAAGCCCTGTCTTCACTGTACATTCAGATATGGGAATCTTTGTTGCCTTACTGCCTAACTCAGGAAAAGCTGAAAGTCTGACGAATGCATTGTTCTTTTGCTTCCATCTAGTGGTCTGGACCAAAACAGCACAATCCTGTTTTAAAGAATGAAATCCAAACATCAGTGCTGTATCAGAAGCTATAAACCCAGCCTGGGAATGAGCAGTAGCCAAGAAGCAGATGGAACACAGGGGAAATGAATGTGATCTTAAAGGGATCTCTGTCTTCAGAGTGTCTGCATTTAGAATTTTCTACCCTAAAGAGAGAGGGAGGGTGTGTCTGTGTGTGTTTAGTACAGTCATACCTTAGATCAGGAACGCCTTGCAAGATGAATGTTTTGGCTCCCAAACGCTGCAAACCCAGAAGTGAGTGTTCTGGTTTGCAAATGTTATTTGGAACCCAAACATCCAGCAGGGCTTCCAATTGGCTTCTGGAGCTTCCTGCAGCCAATCAGAAGCTGTGCCTTGGTTTCTGAACATTTTGGAAGTCGAACGGACTTCTGGAACAGATTCCGTTTGACTTCTGAGGTACCACTGAATATGGTATACAGTAATTGCAGAAGACGTACAAGACACATACTAAGAAACGAAAAAGAAGGAAAGGAAAAACAACCCCTGTCCCCAGTATCAGTTCAGAGTCACAGAGGTGCTTCTGCCATTCTTAAACCTGGATGGAATATCAAGTCAAAGATGATTGTGACTGGAAGATAGCTGGCATGTGCTTTTTGTTAAATGTTCCTGCATTTTCCCTAATGCCAGTTCAGTGCATGGTAAGTTTCAGATCTGGCTTGTTGGGCAAAGAGAAACTTGGTTTCAGAAGGGTAGAAGGCCGTGGACCATCTCACCAACCTGCTTTGGCCGTCTGCTCCTACTTCTGTACACCAGCCTTCAAATCCTGGGGGAGAAAGAAAGAGAGAGGGGCTCCTTATGCTGGGGTGAAACGAGGCTTTATTTCACCTGGGGTTC